CCATAAAGATTGGTAAACCCTATACAGGGTTGCTATGAGTTGGAATTGACTCGATAGCACACCACCACTACAACCAGTCTACCAAAGTTCATCGAGGGAGATGGCAAGTAAGTAGAAAAGAGGGACCTAGTGGAAATAGCTTACTAACAAGAGTCTTGTTCTTTGCTGATTGTACTGTATAGAAATATAAAATCAATTAAATTAATGCAGGTTTAGAGAGCTTTTTAAAGGAAAATTCCAACATTTAGAAATGTGAAAAGTAGAATTTCTAAGGGCTGAGTGCTATAGCTGGTCTTACTTCTAATTTTTTGGCTTAGTCTGGAGACAGGAAATCCGGAAAGCCTTAAATTTCAGAAGTCTTGAGTTTGTTCCAGATTGCAGCATTCGGTTGATTGGTACATGCAAAAAAAGTGAGTAGAACCACAAAACACATAGAAAAGCTTCAGGGGAGTTGGTTTTAAAGAAAACACACCTTCCTTAAGTATATTTTTAAGAGAGTGGTGTCCTCTTAGCTTTCTGATTTTGTAGTAGAAGGAGATCTTATAAACCTTTTTTTTTTTTTGGTCTGTTATTTTAATGATCTTTTGTTTTCTTCATGTATGATGGTCTTGAAGTTATCCCACAGCCCTTCTGGTCATTAGTATCTATTGCATCAAATCTTTTGAGGTGGTCTCTAAATTCAGGTGATAATTGTAGAGATTTTAGATTGTATCTGTCTACTTTCCTTGTCTCCACACCTTTTTAACATTCTGTTCCCAGAAATCCAAGTGTCACCAGAGAGCATATGAAAAACAAAACAAAATCTATATACCTTTTATAGAAAACATCAGTGTTCTGATACTGTGCCCAAGAAATAGATTATACAAAGGTCAATAATGGGTAATTAATCTGGTGGCGTAGTGGTTACGAACCGCAAAGTCAGCAGTTCGAAACTACCAGCTGTTCTGCGAGAGAAAGATGAGGCTTTTTCTGCTCCCGTAAGGATTTACAGCCTCGGAAATCCTGTACAGGATTGCTATGAGTCGGAACTGACTCCAGCCACCAAAGTAGTTACGGAGAACAGACTGAAAAGACTTTAAGATATTTAGTCTGGCAAAGATGTCATTACTTTTACATTTTAATCATATGGTATGGATGAAGAGTAAATTAGTTCATTTACCAAATTCCGTGACTTGAGAACTTCTCCCTATCATACTTCATCACCTGACTTTGATGGAAGTTTGAAAACTTTGGAGAATTCTCAATCTAACATGCTAAAGGTTTAATTTGAAAGGTTGCAGAAGCTTAGGTAACATGATCGAATAGGTTGTACTGTCTTACTGAAGGATCACTGTGTATGCAGGGCACTCATGCAGGCTGCTCTAGGGGATATAGAGGTTTATAAGACAAGCCCTTTGCCTCTAAATTGTTTAAAATCTAGCTGGGGAGGTATGATATAAAAAATTAAATAGTTAAAAACTAGAAAGGCAGATGGAATTCATTGCATTGAATTGTATAAACAATAATAGTGAATACAAAAATAGTAATATTGAGTCAATGTAAAGATGAATTGGCACCTTATTAGCAATAAAAATAATAGTAAATTTGATTTTTTTTCAGGCACATGTAATAATCCATATTTTAAAAACGATCATTTTTATATCCAAATTTAAAAGCCCAATAAAATAGGTCTCTTGTTCTTAGGCACTAAACTGATCAATCAACTTTATGTTCAGTAATGTCCTAGTACAAGTTAAAGAGAGTCAAAATTTAATTCACATTACACTTTTTTTGGTAGAATCAGCACTGGACTGTGAACTACAAGGTTGGCAGTTTAAACCCACCAGCTGCTCCTTGGAAACCCTATACGGGGTTACTATGAGTTGGAATCAACTCAACGACAACTACATACATGTTAGGCATGTAAGGAATTCAGAGTATTAGAATGTAACTAGCTGTAAGGCTATACCAGTGCCACCTCTCCCCCAAGTAGTAGTGCTCTATCATCATGAACACACATAATGCTGCCATGTGCAAATCACTGGCCGACGAGGCAGAATGGAGGAGACAAACAGGCCCCATACTTATCTGGATAATCTCTCCCTGCTGCCTTTCCTCCTGAGGCTGCTCAACCACTTAAGGCCCTCCTGAAGTTCCCCCACACTCACAGTTCATACCACTTGGTGTTCTAATGGAAGAGTCATCCTAATTACCAGTAATGTTATGCATGTGGGTTACCTGCTTAATACCACTTTTAGAAAGCAATACAGTAATGGGCTCAAATGTAACAATTGTGGATGGCATAGGCCTGGCAGTGTTTTGTTCTGTTGTGCATAGGGTTGCTATGAGACGGAACCAGCTGACCGGCACCTAACAGCAACAGTAAAGTCAGCAAGGGTGCTTGAAGTCTGAGCGTGAACTACAGAAAGTGAAAGAAAACAAGATAAAAAGGAGAGTTTGCATGCTGCAAATCAAACTTTGCTCAAGTGACTTTTCCACTATAATTATGGTTGTGATTGTTTTTAATGTTCCTAATGTCAGCAGTTCAAAACAACTAACTGCTCATTGGGAGAAAGATGAAGCTCTCTGCTCCCATAGAGGTTTATAGCCTTGGTAACCCTATGCAGGGCCGCAGTGTGTCAGAACTGATTCCATGGTACACCACCACTGCTTAATTGGGGCCTAGTGTGGCACTGTAGGACAAGCATTGGACTGCTAACCACTTTTGAACAAGGTCATCGATTCAAACCCATCAGCTATTCCTGGAAAACCCTTTACAGGGTAATTATGAGTCTGAATCGACTCACAGCACTTAATGATATCAACAATTACTGTAAAAGTGTATATGTCAAGCTTTAAAAATCTATGGGCTAAAAAAAACAAAACCTATGGGCTGATTTTTTTTATTGTGCAGTTGGACTCCTCATCCCCCACCCAAACCCATAGCCTTGTGGTATAAACACCACCATATTATATTTACCACCATTTACTATATACTATGTCATGAATGTGACCAGGGTCAGTGGATTTGATATCTGCTTATGGATAAAACTGAAAATCGTTGGAGCCCTGGTGGTGCAGTGGTTAAGTGCTCAGCTGCTAATATAGATTGGACCCATCAGTAGTTCTGCAGGAGAAAAGATCTGATCCATAAAGTATAGAAAACCCTGTGGGGGAGAGGGCAGGTAGTTCTACTCTGTCCTATGTTGGTAAGAATTGGAATCAACTTGATGGCACACACATTTATCAACATTCTTAGTAATTTAGTCTAGCCCTTTTAAGTTCTGGTTTGGCACTATATAGGTTAATCACTGGACTGCTAACCACAAGGTTGGTAGTTCAAACCCATCAGCCACTCCACAGAAACTATGTTGTTGTGTGCCGTGGAGTCTGTTCCAACTCATAGTGACCCTGTACAGGGTTTCCGAGGCTGTAAATCTTCACCGGAGCAGAAAGCCTCATCTTTTCCCGCGGAACAGCTGGTAGTTTCAAACTGCTGACCTTAAGGTTCTCAGCCCAATTTGTAACCACTACACTACCAGAGTGCCTTCCTCAAAATTCCTTTTAATAAGAAATCACAAAAATGCTTTAAGAGTCCCATTTCTCTTTAGAACAAGAATGAGAGCTGTCCTTTCTAATTTTGCTTTCATGCCACAGAAGTCATTGGAAACCTGTTTTTGAAAGACTGTAAACCATGCATATTCCTGTCTTTTAGGATTAATCTCTGGTCAGCAGACAGTTCAGGATACAGATTCTCCAAGGATGAATGTTCACCGTGTCAGTGATGGTGACAGGTTATTGCGGCAGGAGGCCAGCCGCCTAGTGGATGATGCTTCAACTGCAACTCAAGAAAAAGATGCAAGTAGCCTGGCTTCATCTGGTCTTCAAAATCTTACTTATCCCCTAGGTCCCAGGAGTGATGGTACGATGATAGATCTTGACTTCATCTTGGGGGACTTTCTGACACCTGTAAAGCATCCATTCTACCCAGAAGTCATGAATTTACTTCTAAGTAAATTATCCAGTTAATTGGCTTAGCTTGTTTGTCATAATTGTATAAAGTTGACTATCATAAAACATCTCCAAATATTTAATCAGGTTAGCACATTTAACTTGGTGATAATGGTGTAAGAGAAACAGCAATGGGTTTGAAGTCAGAAGACAAATTAAAATTCAAGTTCCGCTGCATATTAGCTGTAACCATGGATGGGGACCTGTAAGCTTTCGGAGCCCTGTTTTCCTAAGCTACAAAACAGAGTTATTAATATTCTTCCTCATCCATAAGACTGGTAAATAAATGAGTTAATGGATGTAAAACTCTTGAAAAATGGCTAGGTTCTTGTTAACTTTTAATATAAACAATACAAATAATAATAGCAAGTATTCATTAAGGAATCCTAGTGTGGTGCTGTAAGGGTAAACACTGGACTGCTAACCAGAAGGTTGGCAATTCAAACCCACCAGCCACTCCTTGGAAACTCTGTGTTGTTGTTCAGTGCTGTGGAGTTGGTTTGGACGGATAGTGACACCCTGTATTGGGTTTCCGAGGAGTAGCTAGTGGTTCAAATTGACTTTGAATCTAGCACATTATCCTAAAGCGCCACACCAGGACTCCAGGAAACCTTATGAGTCAGACTCAAGGCACTTCACATTTGAGTATTCATTGTGCTAAGAACTTTACATACATTCTTTATCTCAGTTTGGCAAAGTATGGCCCATGGGTCACATCTGGCCCATTTGTTGTATAAATTTTATTGAAACACATTGGAGCCCATTTGTCTACATGCTGTCTATTGGTTCCTTTCCTGCTACTGTGTCAGGGTTTGACCCAAAAAGCCTAAAATATTTTTATTTCATGACCCTCTGCAGAAAGTTTGTTGCTCCGTACACTACTCCTCACAACTATTATTATTCTTGTTATTCAGGTGAGAAAGCTGAGGTAACCTTGTCACATTGTTATGATGTAGGGGACTAGGATTTTAATGGTTTTCTGACCAGGCTGTGTTAATGTTTTATTTGCATAAGTTGTTGGAAAAGCAGAGTATGACTGCCACCCTTGGGTAGACCATTAGGGAGAACTTGTACAGGGAGTCTTTTCCTGCACAGCCATTTAAACTGAGTAGAACCTGAGGTAGAGCTTGCTGTTCTTCAAACATCAAACTCAATTTAATTGCTTCACTGTTGGAAAATCAAGCATTCTTAAGAACTGAATTCATAATTCAGGTACTCGAAGTTTGATAGGAATGTTTTACATGGAAACTTAGCTCTTGGTGTGCAGGCACAGGGCTACATGTAAAACATATTAGAAGCTATAGGATGTGGACTCTAAATCAACTTGTGACCTAGGTTTTCGGTTTCTGTTATCTACAAATGAGTGGGCTAACATTTAAATGCACTTTAGCAAACTTACTTAGTTTTTTGAGTACAGAAAATCTGACTAATTTTCCAGAAGTATGGGCAGTAATCATGTTCCTGAATAATTATATACAAATTTAAAATACATGAAGGGCAGGAGTTGAGAACATTATTCAGTTTTATCTTATTTTCTTTCCAAAAGTAAAGTTTGAAGAAAACGTAGGAAAATGTTATGTAAGCTTACCAAATCTAGGTGATGGAACATGGATACTTGTTCTGTCTGTGCTTCTATAGGATGGAAATCTTCATTTTCTTTTTTCACATTAAAGTGAAATATATTAGGAGAAGGGCCTGTTGTTACAAGAATCCTCTAGTAAATCCTTTAGTAAATTCTTGATCCTATTGTCATCTAGGTTTCATATGTTTGGTTTTGAACCTGCTTTTTTGTATCATGTGGCTTTGTACCTTTTTAATTGTTCTCACACACTTTATTTCAGTTGATAGCCAACAGTTCTGTGAGGTCAGTGGAGAAAATATTTTTGCCCTGCATTTTGCAGATCATGAGCCAGGTTCAGAAAAATTAAGTGACTTAGAACAGCTTTTTGGAGACTAACAAAAACTGAGAATTCATGAATGAATCCTAATCCAGGGTCATTTGTACCAGACTTTTCTACTGAGAGCAAGAGGTGCCTGTTCTAAAAATGGTATAGATGCTGTTAGTGAATTGGATTCTCCACTGCATAGAGAAAAATGCATTTTTCTGTGAAGTTCTAGGAAAAAGTTTGGAGAATGTAGAAATGAATCATTTTGGCACACAAAAGTGGTAGTTGTTAAGTGCCTTCAAGTTGTTGCCAGCTCATAGTGATCTTGTTTATGGTTTCTGAGGCTTTAAATCTTTATGGGAGGAGCAGAAAGCCTCATTTTTCTCCTGTGAAGCGGCTGGTGCGTTTGAACCCTGTGCTCCCCATGAAAGTGGTTGGTTCCTTTAGTAAAGCACAGGAAATATACAAGTATTATTAAGAGGTAGGGGTTCTGGTGGTGTAGTGGCTACGTGCTTGTCTGTTAACCAAGAGTCTGCATTTCAAACCTACCATCTGCTCCACAAGAGGAAAATGTAGCAGTCAGCTCCTCAAAGATTACAGACGAGTTTTGCTCTGTCTTTCAGAGCCACTGTGAGTTAGAATTAGCTCAGTGGTACACAGCACCAACAGTTTGGAGGTAGAAGTGAAAGCAGAAGTAAAAACATGATTAACACTGTGGCATAAGACTTAAAGAGGTATGGGGTGCGGCAGAGGACTGCTGTTTTTCTACACAGACTTGTTTTCTGTTTGATTAATTTCAAAGGGGGGGGGCATACGTAGTTTAAAATGTCTTAATCATTTTGTTTTAAAGTATGTGTTTCTCTTTCTTCCTCACATAAACACACCTGGAAAAAAGCTCAAGCAGGCCAATATATATCTTATTTTGTACTTTTGTCTTTACTTACTCCAGGCAAGAGTTTTTGTCTGAATGCCTAAAAGTTTTTCTGTTGTTATTTGTTTGTAGAAGTTTTGTTGAAAAATTTTTTTTTACACAAAACAGTTTATTTTCTCCCCGAAGGCTTTTTACCATCAAGTTATTTTGGTTTATTTATCTGATATTTTAGAACTTTCACTTGACTATGCCTCCCAGCCAGCAAATCTTCAGTTCTCTCACATGATGCTGCTTCCCGAAGACATCAAAGGCTCTTGCTTCTCACCTGGGACTAAACGGAACCATGAACCCTTTATTGCTCCAGAACGATTTGGAAACAGCAGTGTGGGCTTTGGCAGTAACTCCCATTCCCAAGCACCAGAGAAAGTCACACTTCTTGTAGATGGCACACGTTTTGTTGTGAATCCACAAATTTTCACTGCTCATCCTGATACCATGTTGGGAAGGTAATTGACAATAATTTCCTTTCCGTTTCACTCTGCTCTCTAGGATGAGTAGCTAATACCTGCTGTTCATCTTGCATTTGATGTAAGAAAATCACATTGCTTATTTTTCTGCCTTCATATCTTTGTGAGACAGGGCAAGCTGGTTGATGCTGTTTTAAACTTAGTTTGCCTAACAAAGCTAGAGTAAAATGAGCCCCCACCCAAAATGTAAAATCTAGTTAAAATTATGGAAAATAGCCTACTGAAGTTTTTTCTGTATTCCTCTATAAGTCACTATAAAACAGAAGTCAGATATTTAATTTCTTTCAGCCACAATTTGTAAAACATCACAAGTCCTTCTGAGCTCTACAGCTCCAAGATGCTAGATAAGGGGAGACATGCATCGTAGGGTATCTTGGGCTTTTTTTGTTCTGTTTTTAATAGAAATTGCATTCGACAAATGGTCCATATGATACAGGACAAAGCACCACACAGGAGAAATTCTAAATGGACTCTTAGCCACTTACAATGAGATTTTATTTTATATCAAGATCTGACCTCACTCAGGACTTTGAGCTGAATTAGAAATCAGAATGAATCATTCACTTGCCAAATTCTAGACTAAGTGGAAATCGGCTATTTTGTGCTAAAATATACACATAAAATTCATAGCAGTTTGTAGCCAAGCCTATTGTTTCTCAGACATTTGAATTATAATGACACTAAAACAGTGTCATCAAAAACAGCGTTTCCCAGTTTGACCTTATATTTTATCAGGCTTGGCTTCCTGTCCTTAACCTTGACACTACCACAGCTATTGTCCCCATCCCCCAAAAAGAAGTATGCACCAGTGCAGGCTGGCTGAGGTGCATTGCCTCTGAAAATAGTGATCCAGAGAGGAAAGGCTAGCCTCTTCCGCATAATAGATTCCTGGGTGACGTCTGGGTTCTCTGAGCATAGGGAGGGTTGTCACATGAAGAAGAGAGCCTGATTCTTTAAGTGGTTCATGACACTGAGGAGGCCCTAGCTGAGAGACTTAGAATGATGAAATTTGTGGTATGTTCACTACTCTGATTCACAGCTGTCTCCACTAGATTTCACCCCAAGTGTTCCAGGAAAATGTCAGCATTCTATTCTCTAAAGACTCTGTTATTCAGGATGGATTTCTAATGCATGGTGCAGGGAATTGGAAAGTGTGTGATTGGGAATCTTTTACAGACCTTTAAAAGGCAGCCAGTTTAGAGTAGATGATAACAGTTGACCACAATTGAACAAAAGGCTTCCCAGTAGGTTAAGAAAAAAAATGTCAGGGAAATCTCCTTTGGGAAATCAAAATCAGGCTGGCAAAAAGTACTCCACTGCCTGAGCTGTCCTTTGTGCTGACTTCCATTTCCACAACTTATACCCAGAGTACAATAGGAAGAGCAGAAGTCATAGGGCCAGGAAACTGGAGGAGAAGAGCTGCAAGAAGAGAGGAAGAGGTGAATACGACTTCCTCCCTGTGCCCTCATGACCTTTGAGTTCAGGCCAGAGAAGGATGGCTTTTCTGAAATAACATCAAGCTGTCCATCAGCCTCCATTTGTACTTGGCCTGGAATTTCTATCTTTAGAGTAACTCCTTAGATTCAACAAGGACAATTTTTCCTAGAACTCCATCATTAAAATATACCAGGAAAGGAAAAGCATAATTTATCTGCACTAGTACAGATTCGTAGTGGTTACGAATCGGGCTGGGAACCGTAAGGTCAGCAGTTCGAAACTACCAGCGGTTCCGCGGGAGAAAGATGAGGCGTTTTGCTCCCATAAAGATTAACAGCCTCGGAAACCCTGTGCAGGGTCACTATGAGTCGGAACTGACTCCACGGCACATAACAACAACAATACAGACTCATCTATTAGATGTTGAAAAGCAAAACTCAGAAATATTGAGGGATGGCATACTAGATAGGTAAATGTTGGTAGGGTCGCAAGAAGGAACAGGAAAGGTCAGGGGCATAACACCCCATTTTCTGAACTGTCAAACTGGGTAGGCAGGTTTCTGGGGAGTGGAGAGGGTATAAAAGGCAACTGTCATGCACCCCAGAGATTTTCCAAGGGTCAACTCCACACTTGCTATACATTTGCTGTAAATGAACCTTGAGAAGTTGCTGTTTTATTCCTCCATGCACATAAAGACTTAAAGCATTTGCTACCTTGGATTAGACTAGGCGGTAGGCTGAACTTCAAAGTTAGCAATTCAAACCCACCAGCCCCTCTGCTGTAAATAAAGATTTACATAAATCTTTATGTCTCATCCCATAAAGATTTAGTCTTGGAAACCCTGTATATAAGGCCAATCTGAGTTGGAATTGACTCGAGGACAATGGGTTCAGTTTGATTTGGGTTTCTGCTGTCAAAAGGGAGTTTCCCTAAGACTTGATGGCTAGAGGGATCGGTTCCCAATGCAGTTTTTAACGTACACTCTGAGACAGTGGAATGAAGTCTTCCAGAATGTGGCATCAGGGAGAAAAGTTAGTGGTAACTGTGTTGTGTCTCTTTCAGGATGTTTGGACCAGGAAGAGAGTACAACTTCACAAGGCCCAATGAAAAGGGCGAGTATGAGATTGCTGAAGGAATCAGTGCAACAGTGTTTCGCACAGTGCTGGTGGGTTGTGGGGTTTTTTGTTGCATCTTCCTCCCTGATAATGCATGGTCAGTGACTCTGAGTCCCATCAAACTTTGTTCCTGACATTCGGGTCCCTGGTTCTGGTTATTGCTGTTTACTCCTTATGTCCTGTTTCTGTAACCTTCCTTCATTGGCTTACTCAGGTGTCAAGTTCTGATGCATCATGTTAGGATAGCCAGGAGCCTCTTTGCAGTTTAATTACTCACCCAATTTGGTGATAATTCCAGCAACCCATCCCTCTAATAAGAATGAATAGGGTAGAAAATGTCATTTTCACCTTGTTTTTTGCCTACATTTCTTCTTTATAATCTATTTGCAGGATTATTATAAAACTGGCATCATCAATTGTCCTGATGGCATCTCTATTGCAGACCTTAGAGATACATGTGATTATCTCTGCATTAACTTTGACTTCAACACCATCAGGTGTCAAGACCTGAGTAAGTACAGGAGGAGCTACCATACTTTTAATTTGCTTGGAATTACCTGATTGTTTTCAGTACTAAATGGGGATTTCAAGTGTGGGTTGCAAGTCATCTACAAAGGTAGAGCCCTGGTACTAATTAGTTAGTTCTTTTTCTTGCCTCAAAGTTGTTAGAAATGAGAGTCAACAAAGGACAACAGGTAGTAAGTAGATCTTCAGTCTAATCTGGCCACTTAGTCACCAAGCATTTCCCCTAGCAGGAGTTGGGCAGTGTCATTCAACTGTTTAACATACAAGGATACTGCTTTTGAGACCTAAGGAAAGACTCACAACAATCAAATGATATAAATTGTCTGGGTTCTTCTTACCCATTATTTTTATCTTTATTATTAACCTGGTGTTTAAGTGCCGTACAGATAAGGACTTGCTTAAATTTTAGAACAGTTAACCATGCTGCATAGCTGATAAACTCATCTAGTAAATAAGACTGCTACATGATCTTGCTCTCAAGACAGCATTAAAGTTGGGCCTAGAACTCAGATTGTATGGCTATAAATATCATGCTTTTATCATTATGTAAGCTTCCTGAAACATTTAACACATTTTTTGAAGTTGTTACTTTTAGGTGTTGTTGATTCTGACTCACAGTGGCCACATGTAACATGTTTTCTTGAGGAGCAGATAGGTTTCCGCTGCCAGCCTTTAGGTTAGCAGCATAGCACTTAACCATTTGCACCACCAGGGGTCGCTATTCTTTGAAGTACATAATCCATCTTCCTACATGTTCCCTGAAGATCTCTGGACTTGTGATTTCTCTGTGGGTCGATCACATATTTACAGAAAGCTCTTTTGTTTCTGCAAACTAAGGTTACTCTTCTACTGTTATTAAGCGCCCTCAAGTTGGTTCTGACTCATAGCGACCCTGTATAGGGTTTCCGAGGAGCAGATGATGAGCTTGAACTGCCAACCTTGAGGTTCAAACCGACCTTGAAGTCCAGTACATTAGCCCACAGCACCACATCAGGACTCCTTCGTCTACTGTGGTACTGTATAATTACTGAAATCGGGATCCAGAGCATCTTCAGAAGTCATCCCCAGATGATGGCTCTGTCTCTTGTATAATATGCACTGACAGTGACACTGCTGCCCAACAAAACTCAGTTGATCAGAATAATCAGGGATTATTAAACTTGGGTTCATTGAAGAGTGGTAGAATAGGGAAAAACATCTTAACAAAGTCACCTTATCCCCTTGGAACAGGAAACAGTCTCTTTGCCTTTAAACACACCACTTCTCTGCACCTTACTGTGATCCTAGCTATTGCATCACAATCTTTTATCATTCCAGTAATAACATGCATTTGGGCAGAAAGTTCACCTGTGTCTTCTCTCACCAGGTGCGTTACTGCATGAACTCTCTAATGATGGTGCTCACAAGCAGTTTGATCACTACCTCGAAGAGCTGATCCTTCCCATCATGGTGGGCTGTGCCAAGAAAGGCGAGCGAGAGTGCCACATTGTTGTGCTGACAGATGAGGATTCTGTGGACTGGGATGAAGACCACCCCCCACCCATGGGGGAAGAATATTCCCAAAGTAGGAGACCCCAACACCACGTAGATATTTTCAGCAAGAAACACACATTGAATTGCTGCCCAGAATAGCAATTCACTCTTACTACCAGCATGAATAGCACACTAAGCTGGATGATCAGCCTTCAGCAGTGGCAGGAGTTCTCATCTTCATACTGGGGAATATAGTGGATCGTTGACGTCTACTATGTCAGATAACCAAGGAAGCACTGCTCGTGGTTTCATTCGTTTCTTGACATTTTTTAATCTTTTTGAATTGATAATTCAAAATTCAAGGATGTACACTGAAATGTCTTATCAACCCTGTCCCACCCACCAAGTTTTTATCTTTTTTTTCACTATCCTTCCAGATGTACTCAGTGTACCTATATAAGTAATTACATACACAACTTTTCTCATTTTTTCAAATGATACTGTCCATTACCATGACCACATCCGTGTTCCTTTTTGTGGCTGTATGAGTGTGCCTTAACTGATTTAGTAAGTCCCATTGATGGACATTTAAGCTGTGTCCAGTCTTTCACCATTATGATGCTGCACTGAATATCCTTTTACATAGTCTTCTCACACATGTATCTTTCTAGAATATTCCTAAAAATTGAACTTCTGCGTCAAAAGCTTTGTGCTTTTAATTTTACAGATGTTGCCAAACTGCCCTCCATCAAAGCTGTACTAATTTATACTCACAAAACTATATGTGACAGGCTTGTTCCTCACTCTTTCACCAACACAGTATTTTACTAAATAGGTAAAGCAGCATCTTACCAAGTTTAAATTTGTATTTTCTCATTTCATGAGTGAGGATGAACATCTTTTTAATTTCAAGATGTTTTCATTTCTTTACCTAATTATATTTGTGTCTTTTGCCCATTACAAAACTGAATTGTTGTTCATCTTTTACTTACAGGTTTATAAAATCTATTTATGGTAGTTTAGTGTATACCCTAAGAAAATTAGCTTATAATGAGTTGTATCTATTTTCCTCAGTTGGTTACCTATATTTTGAGTTTTGTCAACAGTGGTTTGGGCTGTGTAGAGAAGTAGTTTTCTGTTGCCAACCATATTTCTTTTATGTCTTCTAGGTTTTATGTTATATGTGGAAATGCCTTCCCCACTTTATTTAAAAGACTCCTCTGATTTTAATATTTTAATCCTTTATTCATTTATTTAACATTTAATCTTTGATTCAACTGGGTGGGGTTTTTTTTGGCTTCCTTAGTTGAATCTGTTACAGAACTCATAATAATTCCTTTTTTTTTTTTTCTTTCCTAGTTCTGTATAGCTCCAAACTGTACAGATTCTTCAAATACATTGAGAATCGAGATGTTGCAAAAACAGTGTTGAAGGAACGGGGCCTGAAAAACATTCGCATTGGAATTGAAGGTAAGAAAAAATTTAGTCAGTGTTAATGTTTGTCCTCACACATCCTTTTTAGTTTAAGTTGAAGATGCATTAAAACAGCCCAGGACAATCAGAACAAAGGGGCACTTGGGGGGTTGGGGAGAGAACACTCACCAAGTGAGAACCATTTTGCCAGCAATCTTGGTGAGAAGGTTTCTGAGATCCTTCTGAGTATTACAGGTTGGGGACTCAAAATTTCAAGTATTCCATTATATACTTATTATATACCTTTGAGGAACATTGGAAATATTTTCAGAATGACTTTAAGTCGTTTGAGCAATGACCTGTGGCCCTCAAGTTCATAAAGGGTCTCAGACTGATTCGTGGAGGGTACTGAAGCCACTTTATCTCTCCCATCCCACCTTTTTTTTTTTTTTTTTTTGACTCCTCCTGCCCACAGAATTCCTCAGACCTTCACTGTGTCTGATTTAGGTTGGAATTTAAAACTGGAAGAAATTCTAAGATGATTCATTTAAAACTTTCCATGTGTCCGTTGTAGTCTCCTGGGAAACCCCAGGGACAGAATGATAGAGACCCTCATTCCAGGCTAACATCAAAGTCTACTACTGTAGCATATACCTCATACATAACTGCTCTCCTGGTTCTAGCCTCTGATGCTGCTCTAAGATGACTCAGCTATTTGGGCAGGACCGCTGTGTTTTCTTTATAAATAGTTCACCTCCCTTAACTGTTCCTCATACAACGTACCTGCTAACCCATTGCCAGTTGAATGGAGTACCATTCATAGTGACCCCTCCCTCTAGGTAAATGCATTAAGAGACTTGAAGTAGCCCTGCCCTGGCAGGATTTTTGTTCTGTGATGATGTTGACTGTAACTAAAGACTCTTCAAATGAATAAGGTTTCTCTTCCCCTTCCATTAGAATTGTTACTTTCCTTAGATTTTGAAAAAAATGTATTAGTCTGAGCAAGAGGGAAGCAAGCACTTTTAGAGGGTAGGGATCAGTAACTGGTTTAGCTTCACAAGTACTTTTCATGCAGTCTTTAGGTTTATGAGGAAATTGTTGTGGCTAAAATGGAGCAAGTATGGACTGACACCAGAGTGAGCAATTTACCAGAGTCACAGGGATGGACCTTTTTCATTGTTCCAGGTTATCCTACCTGTAAAGAAAAGATTAAGAGAAGACCTGGTGGCCGGTCTGAAGTCATCTACAATTATGTGCAGCGCCCCTTTATCCAGATGTCATGGGAAAAGGAAGAAGGCAAGAGTCGCCATGTGGATTTCCAGTGTGTTCGAAGCAAATCCTTAACTAATTTGGTAGCTGCTGGAGAGGATGTTTTGGAGGACCAGGAGATAATAATGCACCACCCACCCCAAGTGGATGAACTTGATCGGCTGAATGCCCCACTGTCTCAGATGGAGTCTAATGACTTTCAGGAGTAGGGCCAGCTGTGGGTCCCCTCCTTTCTAGAGCTTTTCCTCTGGACTGCCCACACCCAGTCCTTCCCAGGGTTTGTCTCATTCTGAGAAGGGGATGTATTTCTCCCCCATCCTTTCCCTTTCTCCCATAATTAATGTGTCCTTTTCCATAAGTGCATACCTCCAGCAGGAGGTGAAAAAGGACTAGTAAGCAAGCTACCAACTTTGTAGCAACCCTGAGAACTTGAAAATTTTGTGTCTGGTGCTGTTCATTGAGTCTGTAACTGCAAAAGCAGGAAGGGAAATCAAGGCTCCTGTTGCCTCATATTCAGCAAAACAGTCCTTTGTCCTTAACACCCAGTTGTTGATTTTTGTTAGTTTTGTTTTATACCAGGCAAATCACTTAGCAACAAAGGGACCAAACTTAAAAAGGAGACTATCTCCTGAAAGCAGGCACTGAGGGGTGATCATTACAGGTTAATGAGCAATCCATTCCTGGTGGTCCCTGCACCCAGATTGCTCTGAGAAGAACAAGACACTCATTCAAGATGTCCAGAAGGAAATTAAGAGCCTACATTCAATCTCATTTTCCTTTTTAATAGTGGATAATCCACAACTCTGGCAGGAGGGGTAATGTCATGACAATATTTAGAAAACTTTTTGAGCTTAAGCAGATGATTCATTTGGAATGAAACTCACTACTGAAGTAGAAGAACCTTTCCAAATCAAGCCACTTTGATTATCCAGACTTGGAATGTGATGTGAAGCTATGGGTCTTGGGCCCTGGGTGTGGCTGAGAGGCCTTAGACAAGGCTTAAAGGTGTTCAGGATGTGGAAGAAATAAGTGAAGTGCTCAATGGAAAGAGGGAGGAAGCACTTGGGGTGACGCTGGGAGGAGAAATGTCACCTTTGCACAGGTTGCCCCAGTATGGAGATTTTTCTTTGGATATTTTTTCCATACTGTGGAATTTCTTTAATGTTAATATATTTGTTTTTGAAACAGCTTACCAGCTTTTACACACTAGTTATAAAAACATACCAGTGTCAAAGGAAAGGTGAATTGAGAAAAAATTAGGCCGAAGTAATCTTGATCTTTCTGCCCAGTTGACAGTGCATGAAATCCCTTTCTCTGCCGCTTCATGATTGTTAACAGCAGAGATGATGATCAGCACCTCTGTGTGGTGATGGGGGAGATGCCTTCAGTCTAGAAACCAAACAGTCCAGAGCCAGATGTGTTTTGAGGTTAGCTCCCATTTGGTTTCAAAAGTTGGCCTCCTAGTATCTCACATTCAGCACATTTACTCACCAGATTCTGAAGAGGCACACTTTCCTTCATGCTTTATAATACAAGAGAATGACTTTGGTTTTCATTTCTGTGAGATACATTAGGGCAAGGTACTTGACTCCATTTATGACTTCCCCGAGGTAGGGTTCTCCAAAGATAAAGTCAGGATACTCTTTCCAGGCTTGACCAAGAGTTAAGAATGTGTTCTCTGTGCATGTGACCATAATTACAGTGGAAATCAAGGCCCTGTTCCTTACACAGAAAGGGAAATAGTTGTAAAGGGTAAAGTGAGCATTCCCACATGTGCGGGCTTCTACTTGGCAAGGCTGATGGCTGGAGCTAAAGCGATGATCTTACAACCAGAGGTAGTTTTTCACTGTGTAAAGCTAATTGGGGCTCATATTTGAGGTCAGGTTTGGCTTTGACCTTACCAGCACCACATTCATACCAACTAACAGTTGACCAGCCCCGTTGTTTAGTGGTGCTTCCTTTATCCTTTGCAGTGGACTCCCATGCCATTTACAAAGGAATTTTATTTATGTACCTAGGATTTTCATCATGAGTTTTTTTTTTTTAAATATGTACAACTTTCCCTCAGTATACAGCTTATGTGTTAAGTGTAAATACTCCACAGCTAACACTCTTAATAGCCCTTGTATCAGTAAAAAGACAGGTATGAACCTCAATGGCATGTACTTGACAAGTTCTATGTAAATGATTCATTTTCTCAGGCTTTGAAGAACTAAGACATTTTCCCCACAGTTTAGGTTAACATGCTCTTGGTCCCAGCCCAGGTGGTGTAACTGAGCTGGAACTATCTGGAAGTAAATCTTTCTGCCAGTGTCACGTGGGTGACAGTGGCTTAGGGCTAACTTGGAGTAGTTGGGTAGTTCAACTCAGGACATTCATTGGTCCTCACATGGACAAAGGCAGGGCTGTGGTCATACCTTCAAAGTCAGTTTACCTTGATAGCTGAGTAAGAGTACATTTCATAATTTGAAAAAAAAATGGAAATCAAGTTTGGTTTTTTTTTAAGTGCCTAAATAAATAAGCCAAGCTGTTTGTATAGAACATTTTCATAAGGAAATGGCTTTTACCCAGAATATCTTACTCAGAGGCATCTCAGCAAGCCAAGATAAACCTGAATTTGAGGGTTAGAATCTGAGTTTGTGTGCATCATATCATGTATACTGATTAGGAAATGCTTGCCTTTGAGCAGCTAGGAAGAGCAAGGAGACACGGTGGTCAATGAGCTTTTATGGAAGAAAGGCACTGAAAGAATAACAGCAAAAAGGAAGGTAGACAGAGCCTGGACTTACTGCACAGTGTGCAATAGCCAGTATGATTTTAAACACGAAGAGAACAGTGTGCTAACTAACGTGTACATTTCTGTGGAAAAAACCCAAGAAGGGTGATGATGTATTTGCAAGCAGTATTTCAAAGGGTCCTTTCTTAAATGAAAGTAAATTTTTATTCACAGAGCACAGGCTTAAACGCTATAATAATGTGGGATAGAAAGCTAAGAATCAAAGTTTTAGTTATTGATGCACTGCCAAGACTTGCCATCATTTTGAAATTGTTAACATGGGCATGGTGGGCCCAGAAAGAAAACCTGATGCTTTCCTGAAACATAGAGCCAGGACTGTGTCCTGGCTGGGACTGCTTCAGGAGAATGTTACATTTTCTCTTACAGGCAGAATGTCAGTAGGTTTTGCCTCTTTTACTTTGTATTTACTTTAAAGTTGCACTTGTTCACCTACCAGTGTTTACGAAATCCTGTATCTGGGATGCTTTTTCTATAATTAAAGTATTATCATTTGTGTGTTTGTTCAGTCTTTTAGCAGAAAACTAGAAGTTAAGAGGTGGTACCCACAACTGCCCAGGACAGACGTCTGCCTTTCCTAGGAAACATAGGGTTTGCCTTGCTCCTGTGGGTACTTTACCCATCCTGGTATTTCTTTATAACTCATAGCTACCAGAGCCCTTTGTGGTCAGCCCTCTTTCAAATTCCTGGTTAACTTCCCACAGCTCATGAAATCTAACTAAACAGGACCTAACATAGCCAAACGTCAATTAAAAAGGGTGGAGGAGTTAGTTGTGATTTAGAGTAAGTGAGGAACACTGGCAGAAATGAAAGGCACGTGAAAAGGGGAAGGCAGAGTCTTGGCAAGCACCTGGGAAATACTAGTAAAACCTCCTGCTCATTCCTTGGTTGTGATTTTGTTCCCCTCCAGTTGAGTGTCTGCTGGGCAACCTCAGTTCATGTAGCCTAGGAGCTTTTTGGTGATACAAGCTCAAAGGGTGCACACCGCCCGTCCAGGCCTACCTTGTTCAAAATCTTAAAGACCGATGGCCTGTGCAGAGTAGCTTAGGCAGAGGATGAGTCACAGATTATCTGCATTCCAGCTATGTTAAAACTTATGTTGGCTGCACTGTGCTTTCCAGTCAAGATCAGTACTGTATAGGTGTGAACATAGACATCTGCAAACAAAATTTGGACCCATACGCGACAGAAGGTAAAAATTTCTTTAAAAAATCATTACTATGAGCCTGAGAGTAAATGGCAGAGGAGGAAATGGAAACATGCTCAATCACAGATCAAGAAACGGTTCAAAAGTCAACCATCCGCTGGACAATTGATGCTTACAGTTTTCTGGGGTTCTCAAAGGTCAGTTTTGGAGCACTATCCAGAAAAAGGGCCAACAATCAACAGTGCTCATTACAGTGATGAAGAGCTGAAGCCTAAACTTCGGATTCAATGCAGAGGACTGCTATCCAAGGGTGTTGTGATTTTGTATGACTACGCACACCATTAACATCTGCTCACACTGTTAACACCCTGCAAAAACTTAATTTTGAGGTGTTAAAGCATCCTCCTCATAGTCCTGTTGTTGCTTCATTGGACTTTCACCTACTTGGTCCTCCAAAAGCAGCCTTGTGAGGACGAAGATTCACCTCTGATGAAGTGAAGACAATGGTGCATTTGTGGCTCACAACTTGGCCTAACACACTTTTAAATAAAGGAGTATGTAAGCTTGATGATGGACAAAGTGCACTGAAAGCAAGGAGATTGCGTCGAAAAATGATATATTTGTCTTTTCTAATAGTTGATTAAATTCCACTGCGAGAGTTCAGATAATTTTTTGACTCACCCTCACACACACACACATATATATATGTTGTTGTTAAGTGTCGTCAAGTCGGTTCCGACCCATAGCAACCCTGTATAGGGTTTCCGAGGCTGTAAATCTTTACGGGAGCAGAAAGCTCCATCTTTCTCCTGCAGAGCAGCTGGTAGTTTCGAACTGCTGACCTTGCAGTTCACAGCCCGATTCGTAACCACTATATATATATATGGAATTTGATGGTACATGCTCACTGATGGCTCCCATTTAAGAAGGCTCTGAGGCTTCTGACTTGGACAGCTGGGTACAGTGAGCTAGAAAAACAGACTTATCGAGAAGAGAGAAGTTCCATTTTGACAATTTTAGTTTGAACCTGTAGGAGGTTTGTCCAGATGGTGATTTCTAATAGGTAATTAACTATTTGGTTTGTCAGAGGGACTTTGAAGACCTTCCCACAGAAATGAGTCCTGATGTGGGCCTGAAGGATAAGCACTGCACTGCCAACCACAAGTTTGATGGTTCAGGTCACCAGCTGCTCCTTGGAAACCCTTTACAGGTACACTGTTGAGTTGGAACTGACTCAACGGCACTTGAGCCACTGAGAAATCACACAAGTGAAAACGGTAAAAGGCAGAGAGCTCTGAGCAGCACTAGCAGCAGTTAGGGCGCTGAAAAGAATCAAGAAAGGAGTCAGAGGTAGGAGGGCAATATGGCACTATTAAAATATTCAGTACAGCCGACTAATCATGAAGACTGCAGAGAATCCAATGGCTATGGTAGTCAAGACACTGGTGACTACAGGAATTACTATACCAATCAATTCTAGTATGTTCTGTATATGGGATAATTAATCCTAGTTTTTGCATGTGAGAGACAGCAGACACATGGACTGAGGGGAGAGGGAAATAAGGAAATATATGATTGCAGTGTTCCTTACATTCTTCACGACTACTAGATCCATGCTTTTATCCACAGCCCCCCAAATTTCAAAATTCAATTTTTTTTGCCAAATCAATACTACTTAAAGATGTCCAGGAAGTTTTTAAAGCCCCTCATAATTCTGTGCTGGCTTGTTAATACACTAATATGCATGTAAGTATCATTCAATTGAATTCAGCTTAAATGGCATTTGGGTTACACAAAGGCCCAGGAGACAGAACAGGGCAAAGCGAATCAGGAAAGGTACTTTACAAACAAATGATGCTGAGGAAACACAGTGGAAATGGATGCCAGAGGACACCTACTATGCCATATAGATGAGCTTTTAAATTAACAACAGTATGGTAAAGGAGCTCTTGTAGCGTAGTGGTTACAAATTGGGCTGTGAACCGCAAAGTCAGTAGTTCAAAACTACCAGCCGCTCTGCGGGAGAAAGATAAGGCTTTTTGCTCCCATAAAGATTTACAGCCTTGAAAACCCTGTACAGGGTCACTATGAGTCGGAATCGACTCCTCGGCACATAACAACAACAAACACTTGAGTGTTTAGAGTATTTTGAAACAATAATTCAGGAACAGACAGAATCTGCTCCTGTTTTAGTATGTAGTAATTACCATTCTGTTCTTTTCTAACTCCCCCAACTGTAGTAGGAAAGAGCTCTTGTGTGAACCAGATCCACAGCCTGTTTCTCAACACATTTCCTGAGACCCATAGTCTTGAAGACATTACTCACTTTGGCTGCATTCAGCTTCTCTCTGCTTGTACCTCCCACCCTCAGGGGGCCTTTGACCCCCCCCTTCCCCACCCCACCACTTCTTGCCTCTTTCTGAGGTTCCTTTCCATGTTCATAAAAGGGGCTAAGGGTGGAACATAGTAAGACTTCTCCCTGCCCACATGGACTGTTAAGAGCTGACAAGTCCTATCCCACAAGATCATGAGACCTAGTTGACCCCAAAGTGGAGAGTGGGGGGAGGGGGCTGGGTTGGAAACAGCTGTATGAAGGGTCTGACAGCTGAAAGCACGTGTCAGCCACCTTTTTTACCTTACTGCAAGGAGGGGAGGTCCCAGTGCCGCATGTGTCTGGGCCAACAGAAGACAGTCTCTGTGTATACAAACAGTTCAGAAGACTTGCTCTCTGGGAACAAAAAAATCAGTCCCTGATTCCCAGTCAGAAAAGAAGCACTTTGTATAAAGATGGTGTTCCCTGGTTTATGGACAATGGGTTTAAAAAGCCGCCAGCAATCTGACTCTGAATTAAGCCACTTTGCTTTAAAACACATTTCCACTACTGTTTTCACACAGTTTATTCAGAAGTTTAAAGGTTAAAATGTGGGTAAATTCCCCTAAAACAAATCATCCCGTCATTCCCCAACACACAAACTCTACCACTCTCCTTACTTCTCTTTACCCTGGCTTACCACACACTCTTGCAAAAACACTCAGGGGCCAAGACCCAACTATTTGGTAATACAAAAAGACTATAAAGTTACACAAAAGAATCCCATTTACTTCCCTTTTCACTAACAGACTATGAATAAAAAATTAAGGGCAAACGCATTACCTTCATCCAGAGTTAGACTTCCCTACCTACCATTCTTTTTCTTCCTTCTTGAGACGTTAAAACCCAGAGCAGTCTTACTCTAGAGAATCCATTTTTCTTTTCTGAATGGCTAAGACAGACTTTCCTTTCAAAGCTGATCTTAACAACCTCAAGACTGGCAGAAAGCAGGCCATGACTCTCTGCAACAGGCAAAGTTACCAACACAGGTGCAAAATGATGCTTTAGGAGCTATCACAACTTAAAAAAGGTTAAGAATGCATTAATGAGGAGCCTCCATACTTTTGACACAGCAAAATGCCCCTAGAGGTGGTGGCAGCTGTGAGAGAGAAGGCACTTGGTGCTAAGATTCAGAGGGTCCTCAGGAGAGAAAGCTGCAGCAGAGGCCCAGCTGCAGGCGACCCTTGGGAGGGTGGTGGGGTGACAGTATCCCCTAGGAAGGCATCTGCAAAGGAAAAAATGTCCAATCATGATTCCAAGGCATAATGGTTACTTAGAGTTGAGGGGAGGAGAAATACCGAGAGAAAAGTAAACACAGTTGCACCAAGGACTGAGGACTTGGCTGCCGGCTCTGCACTTTCTAGTGGCCTGGTTCCTTCAACGTTTCCAAGAAGGATCTGGAGACCTTGCAGAAGCAGAACGGCACCCTGGACATGTGGTCCAGGTCTCCTGCCTCTGGCTGGGCTCTCTTTGCTGTGTTCCCAGGAAATCAAAGGAGTTCTTGGCAGCACCACTTACAGGCGTATTGCTGGCCCTCAGTGACAATCGCCTTAGGGTTCTCCACATGATACGGGGGCTCCTTGGCAATACCCAATGACTTCTGGGCCCTTCAGAGCAGCAATGGCTCAAGCTGGTATCCCCCTCCATCAACACTCAGAAAAGCAGCATGAGTATTTTAGATTGGGGGATATAAATCAATGGATTGAGGGTCTTTATCCTAGTACCATAAATAAAGTGCACCATGAATGGAGGCTAGACAAAGAGCTACTCCCCAGAGACCGAGGTATGGAGACAAACCACCATTGCCAGCCCCTCAGAGGCTGGTGGACCACTTCCGTCGGCCAGAATGCTGGCTGTTGAGGCTTCCGATATTGCTGTATTTCCATAGTACTGTGGATTTTAGCTATCATATATATATATAAAAATACTTCGTGGGCTTGGCAGATAAAACATCACAAAATCACAGGAATTGGCTGACATCAGTGAGTATACGTTAAAATCCCAATAATATTGGATGATGGCTGTTTTCCCCCTTCATTCTGATGAACTCAGGAAAACACACGCTGTTTGTTTTGTTTTGAACACCTATTAAATTGACTTATGAGGCTGCTAATGAAGCAGGCCAACTGGTTAGGGCTGATGGAGTAGAAACAGTTGTCTTTGTTCTTTACCTTTCCAGACACCTCATGGAAGAGAATCCACTTACTATCACATTTCAGGAGATTTTACCATGACAACTGGTAAGTTCCATAACACGTCTTGGAAGCTCTTCTAAAAATGTGTAAGAGGAAAACCGTGATGCTGTACAAAGCTCTGCTCAACTGAGGTTCCGTGTCCAGGGTACTATTTTGGGGCTTTCATGTAGGAAGGGATTGCCCCTCGAGCAGTCAGGCCTTCAAAGCGCTTGTACGTGTAATTGATGAAGACCCAGTCTTTGTTCTTGTAGTCAGCCTCAGGGTGATTACTTGTGGCCACTGGGAAAGAAATAGATGTAAGAGTTGTAACCGCCTTACCCAGAAAACAACAGTACAGGAGACTTGACATCCTGAAGAACGTTCCCGATTAGTTTTCCACTCAGAATTTCTTTTATATTTGCTTGCCTATCTTTTTGGAACTTCATTATTTCTTCACACATATTTTTTCAAGTTTTGTTTTCCCCTTCCTGTCATCTTGAGTTACCTAACCCAGTGTGGCATTGTAGGAAAAGCACTGGACTGCTAACCACAAGGTCAGTGGTTCAAATCCACCAACCGCTCCTCAGAAGCCCTAAGAAGGGTTGCCATAAGTCTGGGCCAACTTGACGGCACTTAATAACCACCACCTTCAATTTAATAAGTAAACAAACTGACTTTGGCGTCTCACCCTTCTGCTGAGTAGTGTAAATATGGAACTTTTATTCATTTTCCATTCAGCGAGTCTCACCACTCCCCAGCATGAGCACTGGAAAAATACTTACAAAGAATCTGCAGAGATGACGGGCTCCATGTTCTCTACCCTGATTTGTAAACATCACCCCAAAACTGGGGGAAAATAATGTGCTCATAGGGCAGCAGAAGGTGGTGGAGTTGGTATATTACCTGTTGGCTTAAGAATATCAGATTCTGGAAACTCATCGAAGTTTGAGGTATCATCAATGCTTTTGATTTCAATAGATATCGCAGCAGGTCTTTCTCTGCCAAGACAGACATGCCACAAATTACCATGTTAATAAACATATGGATTGTACTAATCAAGTCTATGTCCCAAAAGGATCTCATATCTGATGCAGGGAAACTGTTCAAGTAGTCTTTCTATTCTCTAAAAAGTTTGTGATCTAAGCCAACAGACTACAAACAAATGACACTGCTTACTATTAAGAAAATGTAACTTGGTTATTCATAGGTAGAAAGAAAGAGACAATAATTAGAAGCGCAGTTTCTATATTCCCCCCACAACTGCCTGCCCTGTCAACTAAAAGAGAAACTAGTCTCAAAGTGTCCTGTCCATGGCTCTACCCTTCCACTGGAGGTGTCAATGAGGACCAGCATTAAGGATGGACACAAAGAAAAAACTCAGAGGGATGCAAATCAGAACAGGTTATGAAAATAAATGATAACTTCATCTACTTAGCAACCACCAAAGGTCTTAAAAGGTCTGGGGACATGGCAGGTAGTCTAGGCTCCCGATGCACTGGCAGAACTCTTACCTCCCCAGCAGAACAATGCTCCCTCTACTGTCTCTGTCTGCCTCCCCTCCACATCACTCCCCCCACAATCCTTCTTCCACTTCCTCTCTCCCTCTCAGTGTCCCAGTCTCTGGGCAGGGAGTGTTCATTCTGCTGTGACTTTCTAGATAAAAACAAGGGTAGCATGCTTCTTGGATGCTCCCTTCACCATGAAACCCACCAGTCACTTTGTAAATAGTTGCTGGCTACAACAGATCCCTTGGCACATGGCTGACACAAAGCCCAACTACCAAACCTGACCATGAATGAAATTAGCAATACACCTAGAAATTACAAGGATCTCTTTTCCCTTACTGGTTTGGCAGTAATGGTGCTTCTAAACAGGTATTAAGCAAGCTACCAACTTTCTGAAATAACCCTGGAAGCTCTTATATAGATATACCTGATATGCTCCCAGTCAACACCTTCAAAAAAAGAATTACTTTTGACTTCTTCCACTCCAGGGGCTCCAATTCTGTGTTCCCACTCACAGCAAAATCTGAAAAAGACAAAGGTTTTTCAGCAAACTTCTAAAAGGAGGTGGAAAAGGGGGTGGGGAGTGGGGGTGGGCGCACAATACCTTAAAAAAAAAAGAAGAAGGCCTGGTGGCACAGTGGCTAAGCAATTAGCAGCTAACTGAATAGTCAGCAGTTTGAACCCACCAGCCGCTCCAGGAAGAGTGACAGCCTTGGACCGCCTATGGAGCAGTTCTACTCAGTCCAATAGGGTTGCTATGAGGCAGAACTGACTCCACGGCTACAGGATTTGTCTGTTTGAGGGAGTGAACATGAGGAATGAGACTGAAAGTTAAAAAACCCAGAGTGGGGGATGGGTACTCTCCACTACCTCAGAATCAGCTCCTTGGCTTTCTCAGAGATGGGGACTTCTGGAGGAAAAGTCAGAGTTTCTTTCCAGTTCATCACCTTCTTATATGTCTCTTGAGGGGTCTCAGAACAGAAAGGTGGGTAACCTGTAGTGAAAAAGGAACCTTGAAGCTTTCTTCAATCCGCCAGAACTTTGAATCTGACGTGACTTTCCTTAATACAATTTGATATATCTTTAATAGCTACTAGGGCATTCTTGCCGTGATATGGACAGGACATCCATATCCCAGGAAACATCTAGACCAACCTCTATTTCCCTCAGCTCCTGAACCCCAAGTGTGCCTCAGCTACCGCTACAGAGTCAGCTAAGAGCTGGAGCCAGGAAAAGGAGAGTTGCAGAGATAGGACACGCTGTGCCCGCAGATTCAAAATGAAAGGATGGCACAGCATCCGTTCTAGGGATAAACTTATCTGAGGAAAGTGCCACCAATCTGAGTCAGAAGAAAGCACGGGTTTAAAAAGTGACCACCATGCTCCTTTCTGAGAATCCAGCGAACAACCATCTCCACATCTATCCATCCAATGTTCCAGATTCCACACCCAATCAGCCACAGACTCACTTGGCACTCCTGCGGGTATATTAATCCTAATGCTCACTGGCAAACAGTCACCCCCACAGATCCATCCCCTAAAGACATACTCTTCAAAGTACAGGAAGAGAGCTTGGAGCTAGGTTCTGAAAGCTGAGAGGAAAGGGATTGCAAATTAGAGGTAAACACTGCTAGAAGCAAACAATCTGCATACAATGGGTATTTAATAAATGTCAACAGCTAAAAGAGAAGCTAAATGGACAATAGGAAAGAGTGGATGAAAGAAAGCCATGATCAATGAGCAGCAAAGCAACCACAGCAGGCCAGTAGGCAAGAGAACACAGTGGGATACATTTGACTGCAAAAGTGGCCTACCTAGGAAGGGAAGGAAAAGTGCTTGGTCCGCCTCCAATTGAAAAGGACTCATCATTTTAGGGGTCTTCCCTAGATGCACAGAAAAAGTCCTCTGAAAGCATGCAACTTACCTATCAGCATCTCATACATGATCACTCCAAGTGACCACCAATCACAGAGCTTGTTGTACCCGGTCTGCATGAACACTTCGGGAGCAATGTAGTCAGGAGTGCCTACTGTGGAGAAAGCCTGAAACATGGACCAAGAGTTAGAGAGGCCCACGCAGGCAGGAGGGTGTCCAGAGTTTCCTTCTAGAGACCAAAGTCTATGAAGACCACCTGGGGCTACCCCCAACCTAAATAAGCAGGAGTTCCCAGGAGCTACTGCCAAACTTCATTTGCCAGAGCACTTTCTTTTCCAACCAGAAACAATAAAGGTTTGTTACTGAAGCTCTTGCTAACTACAGCCAAAGCCTATCATAATTCACACAAGGTCAAAGGTATCTCTAGCCTAATGAGTAGTACCATAATTAACTGAGCACACATTAAGTGCTAGGCTCTGTCTGTATTTGGAAATATGCATCTGAGCCTATTTAATCCTGAAAAAACTGCTGCAAAGAGGGCCTCATCAGAACAATTTTGCAGATAAAAAAATCTGATGTCCAATGGCTACAGAATTTGCCTATGACCTCAGAATTAGTCAAGTGTCTGGGTCCAGTTTGGAAATTAAATAGCTTGCTCCAAAGAATCCCTTTTTCTATCAGATATACACTATGATTTTAGAAAATTATAAAGGGAAGCTTTATTAATAAAAGCTAAAGTTACATCCAAAGGGTTACAACTATGCATCTACTACACTTAATCAATTATATAAATGGTTCTGAAAGAAACATTTTTTAAACTTCAGGAATTTATTCTCAATAGCCAGGCTCTAAAATACTTAGAGGACATATAATCAAAGCTTTTTAATGTATCAAACATTTGAGATTTTACCACATAAGGTACTTTAAAGAGTGTGTACACTTCTTTAAATTAAAAATTAGGACGGTGTTGTCTTTTGAAAAATATTTATTATGAAACAGTACAAGCATACATTAAAAAAATCAGACAATAAATACACATGTACCACTACGCATAACAAAGAGAGGTTAATGAGCTACCATATTTGTTTCTGACCATTCATCTTGTTTATAGACAAAACCAAAACTACAGAAACAATAACATCCGTGTCCTAAATTGTCCAATCATCATTCCTCACAGAGGTACATACTCCCCTGATGTTTCTGTGCTGGTCTTGTGTGAATAGGCCCATAAATTACGTGTTGTTTTTTGTGTATTTAAACTTTGAACAAACGTTTTCAGACTTAATGCATCTTTCTGTAATGCTGCAATAGAATTCTGAGTAGCTGCCACTCACTGCTCTTTTGTACTGCACTATTCTCTTCAATGAGTCAGTACTGCCTTCTTTCTCCATTCTCCTGCCCATGGGCACGTATGTTACTTCAATGTTAAATTATGACAATTAACATATTAGAAACATTCTTTGAACACCTTCTTGGAAGCAGTATTGCTGGATCTTGGTTTCTATATGAACATTTTCAACTCAACCAATCATCTTCCTGTTATTATCCACAGTGGCCCTAACAACTTCAGCTGCCCCAGCAGGGGTGGGTTCCTAATACTCCACATCTTGACAACACTGGTTTTGTCAGATTGAAAATGTTTTCGTCAATCTGATGAATATGAAATGGCATCCCCCTTCTGTGAATTTACATTCTTTCACTTCTAGACTGAGCATATTTTAAACATGTTAGTCAATCGTAGTTCTTTTCATGAATTCCTGTTCAGATCCTTTGTTCATTAATTTGTCTTTTTATTTTTGATTTGTAGGAATTCTTTGTGAATTCAGAACACTAATCCTTTATAGTTTTACATACTGCAAATATTTTCTTCCAATCTAAGGCTTATCCATTTTTTTAAATGATTCTTTAAGTGATGAACATTTGTAACCTACTATGGAATTATGAAGTATAAAAATGAATATGCATGATGAGTTCAACTGAAGAACTGTGATATTACCATTGAAGGGTCACATGTACTCCTCCCCGGCACCATTTCTTTTTACAGTTTGCACCTTTTGTATCTTATTTAAGAAATCCTCCTTACTCTGAGGTCATAAAGATATTGCCTTTTATTTTCTTCCACATTTTTTAAAGTTTCATTTTCCGTCAAGTATTTATTTTTGTGTATACTGTAAGGTAGGAATCCATTTTTCCCCCCACAGAGGTAATTGTTTTCTTTTAGATACAAATATTAAATAACGTATCAGAATTTTTCTCTTAAGCTTTAACATCTGAAACAAAGAGGAAGTAATCTAATCATAAATGTTAGGAAGAGCAGACACCCTACAATTTAAAGACTAGATTTATTCCAGCAAAGGTGAATGTTAAGCAAATCCTGTTAGTTTAGCTATTTCTATTAAAAAACCCATAATCTATCTACACAGGAAAATAGTTCTGTCACAGTACTTTGTTGTTGTTGTTGTTAAGTGCCGTCGAGTCGGTTCCGACCCATAGCGACCCTGTACAGGGTTTCCGAGGGTGTAAATCCTTACGGGAGTAGAAAGCCTCATCTTTCTCCCGCGGAGCAGCTGGTAGTTTCGAACTGCTGACCTTAAGGTTCGCAGCCCGATTCGTAACCACTACGCTACCAGAGCTCCTTGTCACAGTACTTAGAAAGACATAATAAACTCCCTGTGTTACATAATGAAGCCACCAAGAGCATGGTCAAAGCTGTGATATAAGAACCATAAAGTGGCTGGTGAGTTTGAATTGCTAACCTTTCAGTTAGCTAAGCACTTTAACCACTGAGTCACCAGGGCCCGTTTAATAACTTGAATAAACTTTAATAACATATCTCCATACAGTAACTTAAAGCAGACTCGTACTTAGTTCCTAATTAATTGTTGTGGCCTAAGGTTACTCAGGTCCACACAACTACTTAAAACATTACAAAAATGATTTAAGCAACCAAGTAATGAAGCCAAAGTCTCTACTTTTTCCAATATTCCCAACTGACTGAAAAGTAATATGCTGGGTGAGTAAATACATATATTAGGTTAAATCGAGAACAGTGAACGTCTATTAAGAAAGAATTAACAAAAATCAACTTTTATCTTGGTACCAGCTGAACAGAATCATCACTTATGAAAGGCCAAAGGAACACAGTTAACTGACCTTTTGAAGACTGCTGTTATTGTTGTTGTTACGTGCCGTGGAGTCAGTTCTGACTCATAGTGACCCTGTACAGGGTTTCCGAGGCTGTATATCTTTACGGAAGCAGAAAGCCTCATCTTTCTCCCATGGAACAGCTGGTAGTTTTGAACTGCTGACCTTACGGTTCACAGCCCGATTCATAACCACTATGCTACCAGAGCTCCTTTTTGAAGACTGAGAGGTAGCATTTTCTTCTTCAAGTTTGATCAAAAGAGGTAATAAGAGGATGACCTTAATTAAGTACCTTTCTATTTCTGCTGAATAAAAAGGTAAGGACCTTAATCACAACATGAGGGCCTACCTATTAGCTTATTCAGATTTCTGAGTTTTTAAATTTGTACTAAAGCACATCTAACTTCAGACCTGGAAATAGTGCAATCTCCTTCAATGTAGATCTATAGTGGTTCTTAGTGATCCTTACAAAGTTTCCAGGGAGTTGCTGGTGGATTTGAATCACTGACCTTATGGTTAGCAGTTCAGTGCCATACCGGGACTCCTAAAGCACAATGCTTGTCTCTAGATACAAGATAATTTAAGGTACTTAAGCTTAATTATCCCCAAAATCTTGTCAGCAAGATTCTCTTACCTTTTATTACCTTTCAAAATAAATATATAAATATTAGTTTCCAAACAACAGAGGAGCTGTTTTACTGTTTAGGATTCAGTTGAATACACAGGAGAATTACCCAAAGTCCTTTCAAAAGTTAGGTGCTCAAATTATACCCCAGACCAACTAAATCAGAATCTTTGGAGGTGGGACCAAGGTTATCAGTGTATTTTGAAGTTCCCCAGGTGACTCCCAAGATTAAGAACTACTACTTTACAGAGAGACAAATAAAGGAGATCAAGAAGTTCATGGGCAGCTTCCATGATCTTTTCATTCTATTTTTCAAAATCTTTTTGAAGCCTCCCTAGTCCAAGAAACATGTGACAAAATCTGCTCCTGACAGTCCCAAACCCACAACAAGCTGTGTATAGTTTTTCAGTCACATACAGAATTTAAACATTTAAGGAGTATCAGAGTTCCTAAGGAAAGGAGACTGTGTTGTGACTAACTGCAGCCCCATGGGAATTTCATGATAGACCTCAGAGATTCATTTCAGTTACTGCATTTCCATAGGTGTTTAGTTAAAGGTAAATGCATCTTCCAGGGCCCAGCTCTACTAATACTGACCCATGGGCCTCAACTCTATTTTTAACCCTGTAAGCCTTCCCTTGGATTCATTAGTAAACAGTCCACAGGCTTCCATTTCACATCTTAATGACACTTACTTACTAGTGCCTATGATGTCAGTTATCAAAGGTATGAATTTTTATACTGTAAATTAAAATTCACATGCTACTTGAGGGTTATAGAGAATTCTAATTTAGTATTTTACTAAAAAGTCTTGCTGAAACAGAGTATTTGGCAAACCTGCCACGTTACCATTGTTTATGCAGATAAGGACCTCGATTCTACATGATACACTTCCTCATTCTTAGTCAGGTTTCCAGCACAGGTAATTCTTGCTACTAGGTGTTACTTTACATGTGCACTAGCTTTCAGGCAAAGCCCAAGGTTACTCGTCTTATTAACTCTAGCCAGTAATTTTCTAACCACTAGATTCAAGAAATGTATGCTGTATTTCAAATTTGAACCAATTAATCAGTCACTATTACAAATAAAAGCTAAGTATACCTGTTTTTATTAACTCTAGCCAATAATTTTCTAACCACTAGATACACTGTACTTCAAATTTGAACCAACTAGTCAACCACTGTTACAAATAAAAGCTTGCTTACTTGTGACATTTTTTCACTGGTGAATTAGTACTATTTAAATAACTTCTAATATACTACAAAGGTAAGTACAATACAAGAACATATTTTTAGCACTTGTGGGCGTACTTTTAAGTGTATACACTCAGACACTTTCAGAGTAAATAAAAAGCATTTCCCTGATATTTCTTTCCAATTGGTACCACCACTTTCTTTTTTCTACTGCAAAGTAGGAAAGAATGGGGCAGATAATTGAGCAGTCTTATGAACTTAAAGCTTTCAGCAGGTATTTGTACTTAGTTTCATTTTGAGAGTCCTTCAACTTCATGACAAGAAAAATACAGAAAAAGTGGAAAGGGGGAGAAAAGGGCTGTCACAATGTAAAAAAGTCAGAATGAAGTCATCCACTGAAAATGTCACAACTAAGGCAACTTTATAATATCTGCTCTCCTTCAAAAGATTGCTTTTGGTCCTACCACTGTAATGACAGTGCTCTATTAGGGTAATTCAAGAGAGGAGATCTGCTACAAACATTTATCAAATACATAATTTTTTACACATTTAAAAAAATATATTCATATTTGATTTGTAGCATTTTGGAAGCCACAGATATTACTTACTAGCTGACGTCTATTTCTTTTCCAGGTTTCTGCTTTTCTTTTAGAATTCATGTTCTGGAAAGCTAAAAGTAGAGAAAGCAAGCTCTAACCAGAGTTCAGACAGGAATGGCTGACTACCTACCTGTCCAGGCTCTGTCTAGTTCAAGACACATGGAGTCTTGCTTTTCTGCCCAAACATTAGAAACTCATCTGGACACATTTCCTAGCAAGTCTGTAAGCCCAAATCAGAGACTCTGAGAATTAAAGAGTCACACAGCAGAGTTTTAATTAAACAGCACTTCCACGTGGGTTATATAGCCAGATAAGATATTGTCGTTGAATTCAGTCCATAGCAGAAGAAAAGGTCCTAAAGTTGACCTAAAACAATCACAACTTCTGAAAAATCACCATGAAATTTCAAAGAGTAATATCTTCTTATTTCCAGGACTGCAGTACTTATTATGATACATTATTTGATATATGTGAACTATCATTTTATTACATGGTTTCTGTAGTTTGACAGTGCTCAAGTGAAAGTAACCTTCATAAAGATAAGACTCTTTCTGTCATGATAGAATGGAGCACCTAGGATAAATCTTGTATGGAGCTGTTCCCAGGACATCTCTACTTGCACTTGTCCCATATTCATTCCCTGTAACCTCAGCAAAGCTCCAAACAAATCTTATTCTGCCGTTTGCCTTACACACACCCAATAGTATTCATCTTGCCTCACCAGACAACACAAGTCAGTCAAACCTGGGAGAGTATTTTTATTCTCTAAAAGACTCATGTTGTGAGATTCCTAATCTGTCCTGCTTAATTTGGTTACCAAGGGAACAACTCTTCTAGGTCTACTTAGGGGGCAAAGAAGAAAACATCACTGTTAATACTTACTGAAATCGCTGGGAAGGCTGTGGTTTAGATTCCTATAAAATTCTGTCCTATGTGCTTTTTTCAGTCCTGTGCAAAGGCCAAAGTCTGAAAGTTTCACATGGCCCTACAGGGAGAAAGATACAAGGTGGATGAACATTCATGGATGTGGAACAAACCTAACTTCTCCAGGTTCCTCCCAGTGTCTGTTACATCTTCACAGGCAAAGCATATTTACTGCCTTTTCTCTCTTATTACAGGGGGAAAACAGGTCATTTAACATTTATTTATAAAACCATCCCATATCCCATCATACTAACAAAACTTCATGTATCTTTGTCTAAATGCACATTTTTGTTAATTTTTTTAATAAAAAAATTTTTTTGAGGGCTGTAGGAGTAAAGAGTTAGAATTAGGACTATAGCTAGGTCTAGACAAGGTCTAGAACTTCATCTGTGTTAGAGTTATTGTTAAACTTGGCTAAGTGTTAGGGAAACACACTTTTGAACAGCTGGACTCACCATAGCAACTAGACATAATTTTAATACTTTGTAAATGAATTCAATCCAATATTCCTTTCAGTAATGAAAGGAATCCTGTAGACACTAAAAATTATAATTTTTATGAGCATATCAAATATAGAAATAAGAATATTGGATTGAATTAATTTACAAAGTGTATTGAAGGAATTGGCAAAGAACAAGGCACCAAGAATTGATGGAATAAAAATTGAAATCTTTCATGAAAGTCAGGTGGCACAGGAGGCACTCACTCATCTCTGCCAAGAAATCTGGAAGACAACTATCTGGCCAACTGATTGGAAGAGATCCATATTTGTGCCCACTCCAAAGAGAGGTGACCCAATGGAATGCGGAAATCTTATGGACAATCTCTTTGATATCCCATGCGAGTCAAGTTTTACTAAAGGTAATACAGAAGTGGCTGAAAGCATACATTGACAGAGAGCTTCCAGATGTTCAAGCCAGATTCAGAGAAGGCCGTGGAACGAGGACTATCATGCTGATGTCTGATGGATATTGGCTGAAAGCAGAGAGTATCGGAAAGATGTTTACCTGTGCTTTACTGACTATGCAAAGGCTTTCAATTGTGTGGATCATGACAAACTATGGACAACATTGCAAAGTATGAATATTCCAGAACACTTAATTGTGCTCATGAGGAATCTGTACTTGGACCAAGAGGCAATTGTTTGAACAGAACATGGGAACACGGAATGGTTTAAAATTAAGAAAGGTGTGCGACAAGGCTGTATTCTTTCACCATACTTATTCAACCTGTATGCTGAGCAAATAATCCGAGAAGCTGGCTTATATGAAGGAAAACGTGGCATCAGGATTGGAGGAAGACTCATTAATAACCTGCGATATGCAGATGATACAACCTTGCTTGCTGAAAGTGAAGAAGACTTAAAACATTTACTGATGAAGATCAAAGAGCATAGGCTTTGGTATGGATTACATCTCAAAGAAAAAAAAAAAAAATCCTCACCACTGGACCAATAAACAGCATTCTTATCCTATCAATGGAGAAAAGATTGAAATTGTCAAGGACTTCATTCCTCTTGGATCAACTATCAACACTCACGGAAGCAGCAGTAAAGAAATAAAACGACGTATTGCATTAGGCAAATCTGCTGCACAAGACCTTTTTAAAGTGTTGAAGAGCAAAGATGTCAGCTAGAAGACTAAGGTGCGCCTGACAGAAGCCATGGTATTTTCAGTAACCTCATATGCATGCAAAAGCTGGACAGTGAATAAGGAAGACAGTAGAAGAATTGATGATTTTGAGTTATGGTGTTGGAGGAGAATATTGAAAACTGCCATGGGTTGCCAAAAGAACCAATAGATCTGTTTTAGAAGAAATGCAGCCAGAGTGCTCCTCAGAGGCCAAGATGGCCAAACTTCATCTCTCATACTGCAGTCATATTGTCAGGAGGGATCAGTCACTGGAGAAGAATATCATGTTTGGTAAGGTAGAGGGTCAGAGAAAAAGAGGAAGACTCCCAGAGAGATGGATTGGCAAAGTGGCAGCTTCGATGGATTCAAGCGTGGCAACAGTAGTGAGGTTGGCCTAGAATGGGACAGTGTTACGTTCTGCTGTGCATAAGGTCGCTATGAATCGGTACCAACTGGTTGGCACCTAACAACAACAACAGGATTCCTTGTGGTACAGTGGGTTAAGCATTGGACTGTGAGCCACAGGATCAGTGTTTTAACCCACCAGTCGCTCTGCTGGATAAAGACGTGGCATCTGCCTCTGGAAAGATAGACAGCCTCAGGAACCTATGGGGCAGTGCTACTCTGTGCTACAGGGTCACTACAATTTGGAATTGAATCCACAGCAGTGGTCGACTGATTTAATGCATTTAAGAATAGTCAATTGATTTAATACAGCTTTACCCAACTGTCCCCGTAATTCTGATGTCTGCTCTATTTTAAAAGCTTTGCTCTCCTGTAATGGATTATAAAATAGGAAACTCTATGGGGAAATTCTATTGTGTCACATAGGGTTGCTATGACCCTACATTACCAACTCAATGGCATACAACAATAATGTGCATCATGATCACCCCTGGGACAAAGAGGACCTTATCTAACCTTCTATATTTGGCACAGAAGAAAAGTCTTCATGAGTAAATGAACAAATTTTTGTTCATAAAGCATTTTCTCCTTTTGAGTTATTTCATTAGGAAACATACTCTCCAAGGAAGAGACTATCCCAAAGATAAACAGAAGAAGCGTTATTTCACAGTTTTTTATAAATGCTGTCAGACAGAGTTCCAGTGGTAAACTTCTGACTTTATAATTCTCTTCAAGAACTCATACTTTCTCGGAACCAGGCACCATAGCCAAAGCTTTGGTTGTGTTGTCTCACTGTGACCTTAGTCACACTTTATAGACTCAGACCTGCTAAACTGCTGGCTGCTGAAATGGTGGCACTGCAGTCAGACATCAGTCTATGCTCTTCCCCCAGACCAGAATCACTTCATCTATGCAAACCTACCTCCTCCGCTGTCTAGAAAAGGAGGATAAAAGCACTCTCCTAGCAGGAATGCACAGAATTAAGACATGTAAGGCTCCTAACTTAGTGCCTGACACACAACTAGCCTGAAGTAAGAAAGGGCTCTAAGTCCTCAGGTGCTGAAGTAGATGAGGTGAAGCAAAACCAAAGAGAGAGAATCCTGGTGCACTAGGATCTACATTGCTCAAGGTCACACAATAACCAGCGGTGTGGCCAAGATCTGAGCCCCAGCTACTTCACCATCAGTGGTCTTCCGATGAGACCCTACACACTGCCTCCTCCCAGAACCTCAGGCTTCAACAGACAAACTTCGCAGGATGCAGGAGCCCTGCTCAGATTGGTCAGGTATTGGTCTGTATGGAAAGATGTCCCATGATATGAGCGTGTGTGTGCGTGTTCATGTAGCAAGGTAAGCTGCCACACAAGCACAGTTTGGAGCTTACTTTTTTTTTTCAGATTTGCTAATAATTGCTTTACAGCCCAAAGATCAGCATTGAATTTACCGCTCTCCTTTGCACAGGCTTTTTCACCTGGAGAAGTCATGGTATGGCATTGTAGGACCAGCACTTGACTGCAAGGTAAGCGCTTCAAACTCACCACATGCTCCATGAAAACCCGACTCCTATACCACAGAGTCACTGAGTCGGAACAACTCGACAGCACTTAACAACGGCCTCTAAGAAAGGACTATGTCTTAGAAAGCAGCCCTTGGAGCAAATGTTTATCAAGTCTAGGCTTTCAGGGAATTATGTAGCTATTCTGGGTACAGAGTAGGAACACAATGCTTCATTTTCATTTCTACAATCTATGTGGCTGAATACATAAATGAAGTTGCTTATGAGAACATGTGTATTACAAGTCTGGGTTAGCATACTGTAGAAACCAAATGCTCGACTAACAGGAAACCCCCTACCCTCACTCTACTCCTCAGTTATATTGAGTACTCAAGTTCCTGGCCCATGCAATGTATTTATCCGACTGTAGCAAAGAGGACAAGGGCATAATAACTAAGTCAGTATGATGGCATCTAAGCACAAGACCACAGGAAACAAAGCTAGACCTTTGTTGTTTTTGTTATTAAGTTGCGACTCATAGAGACCCTGTACAGGGGTTTCCAAGGAGCAGCAGGTAAACTTAAATCACTGACCTTGCAGTTCAAACCAATCTAGCAGTCCAGTGTACTAGCCAGAGCACCACACCAAGACTCCAGAGCTTTATTAAGAATATATAAAAGATAAAAACACTATAGCGGGATTTCAGGAACAGAAAAATACTCTTACACAGCATTAAGTGTTTAAAAGCAGATTTGCTTTTAAAGCTATTTACTTTTAGGAAATATCTGTGGCACCTGACACAACAACAATCTACTTTCACATAAATTATGGAAACAAACAGAAAAGGTACTGATGCTATTATGACAAGGTAGCAGATATCTTTGAGATAATGAAATTATAGGTGATTCTTTACAACTGTCTGTATTGTTCAAATTCTCTACTTTCATGCATTACTCTTATAATAAAGGAAAAAACTATTAAGCAAAAGAAAGTGTCTGACAAGACTCCTGCCCTCTTGAAGCAGAAAGATAAAGATTTTTTAAAAAGCAGGCTAAGAACCCAGGTGTTTCTGTAATAGTTATGAAAAGATAGCAAGAAAGACAAATGTCCTATGAATTAAATTTACTTTTCTATTTAAAAGAAAAATTCAGTCAAGACAATTGTGCATAACAGAACATTCTAGAATTTTAAAGCTGCAAGGGACTTCAGAGTTTCTAGATCAATATATTTATTTTATAGGTAAGAAAAGTAAGGTCCACACAGGTGAAGAGATGTGCTGCAGAGCTTATGTACGTGCCTAGAGAGAACTAGGAACAGGCCACCACAGAGGCACCAGCCTCCTCTGTAAGCAGAGGACATACAATTTGGAACCTGAACTTTGTGATGGACTTGTTTGTGTTTCATTTCTGTTAAAAAAAATTGTTTTCCCCTCCCTTACTTCCTTGTTCTTGGATTTCTCATTAACTGATAAGGATGACCCACAGAGGAGTTCTCAATAGGTGATGTATTAGGATAGTTAATTATATACTATCTTCAGCTTTATTGCAAAATAACCTTCTAAAACAATTTTGCTCTTGATTCTTTTCAAGAATGTATTTTTATTTTTAAGAGGAATGTTCAATCAAATAAAATTCACAAGGCATCATTCAAGTCTTTCAGAGAAAGGAAGGGATAGCAAGCTTACCTGCAGGAAAAGTAAAAAAAAAAAAAAAAAAAAAATACCCGAGCAGCTCATAACTCCCCTCTGTACTTACCACAGAGGTAGTGGCAAGTGTTAAAGCATAGACTGCTCAGATCAGTAGCTAGGAACTGTCCCTGCTGCTGCCCCACCCAACCTGCTGCTGCTGCAGATACCTTGCTGTCCAGGAGAAGGTTATCTGGTTTGATGTCTCTGTGGATGAATCCAAGCTGGTGAATGGAGTCTATGGCTAGTACTGTTTCAGCTATGTAAAACTGAGTCTCCTCTTCTGTCAGAGTGTCTTTCTTCATCAATAGGGTCATCATGTCTCCTAGACACAAGAAGACACAAAGACACCACACACAAAAAAACACAAACAAACCAACCCATGAGTAAATGCCAGTTTTTGAATGATAAGTCTTCCCTATCTGCCAACAAAAGACAGGGCTGGCCCCTGGTGTGTTCCAGAGATTGACCCACACTGCCAATAGGGGGGAAACAGTAAGTGGTTTCTAACATTTAAAAGGTAAAAATCCAAACCTTAGATCTAGAGCAAAGTATTTTCTCACACCTAAGCTGGCTGATGCTGACAAGTGTCCTGTAATTTAACTTTATTTGTGAGAGAAAAAGGAAATTTCCTTCATATTGGGGAGGGGATAGGGGCAGTATAGAGCTAATCTACAAACATAAATATCTATGTACACATGGACTGCTGGTGTAGTGCTGTAGGATCAAGGTCGGCAGTTCAAACTCACCAGCTGCTTCTAGGAAACCCTATTCAAGGAACCTCCATATTTAGAACTAAACGGCATTTTTGCATAAGTTGTAGTATCATTACTGTTAGAGAAAGACCTTAATATGTCTAACAAAAATGTAAACATTTTGAAAGTGCTAAAAACAGTTCTTCAATTTCTATTTTGAAAATACTAGACCACAAACAAACAAAAGGCGGGACATAGGTAGTAAAGTGTTAGTCAACAAAAGCAAAAACGCACTCGAGATACTAGAAAATGTAGCCGGTGTCTACCAGAAGTATACACTGAATATTTCTCAGGGTTGGTGTTATTTTTCCTCCAGTGTTTTATTATAAAGATTTAAATGTACACCCGAGTGCTTTATGCAACTTTTAAAACACAGTGTCAGTATTTTAGCAGTTAAAACTTAAATGCCTTCATTTTCTACAAAGTCAAACTAGTGATTTCTGCTTAATACCAACACATAAGATGGCAGAAAGATTTTGAGTCTCACTCAACAGAAAAATCACAGTATACACACACATAAACACACACACACACACATACACACACAAACACACACACACACACACACACACACACACACACACACGAGGGTAAGTCAAAAAGTATTGCTACAAAATTATAGGCATTTAAATTAAAATGTCAAGATGGGAAAACTATTGTTTCTTGGAATATCCTCCACCTAAGTCTACACACTTCTGAAGGCAAGGTTTCCATTTCTCTAAATCCCTTTCCTAAAGAATTCTGTACTCTTCAATTTATACCACATCAAAATAGCAGCTTTGGCATCCAAAGAGGGATTCAAATCATGTTCCTTTTCAATGTTCTTTGAGTTTTGGGAACAAAAAGTCTGAAGGGGCAAGATCAGGACTATAGAGTGGAACCTGTAAGATTTCCCAACAAAACAGCTGTAGGAGAGAGCCTCTGCTACCCTCAAAGAATGAGCAGGATATTGTCATGAAAGGAAACATTCCTTGGCACAACTTTTTCTCACCAATGCAGTTTTTAATTTTCTTAAAACTTCCTCATAATAAGCTCCCATGATCATCCTGTGTCCTTTGAAAAAATCTATCATGATTAGTCCTCTGGCATTCCACAGCATAGGATAGGCATCATAAACCGCTGAGCTGACTCCTCTGCCAGGAACTGCACTGTCCCAGCAGAGCCCCTCAGAAGCCATTATTTTGACTGGACCTTTTATTACAGGTCCTCTAATGACTACGACAAGTTACTACTGAAAGAACTTGTCAGTAACCATCTACTGACAGCAGAGACCTGTTCAAACACACATTTTGCTTGGTATGAACTTGTGCATGTCTGAACTGAAACTTTAGTAGCAACATATTTTGACTTACCCTCATATAAGTAAAGCTAAAGAAACATGATTCAGAGTTTAAACTTTATGTAAAACATAAAAGTGACTATGTTAGGAAACAGAAAAAAGGTAAACTCTGTAATAATTTTTAACAGACCATCATCATTCTACTTTTTGAGTTTTGTTTCATCTGTAACTTTGAGGGAATTTTGCATTCTTAGGGAAAAACAAATTATTTTCCACAAGCAAAAGATTTAACTATTCATTAAAATGTTCCCTCTTTTGACCCAAGACTTGAAAAATATGATTCCCTTAATTACTCCTGGCAGCAAACATTCAATCTGGAGGTACACTGGGGCTTACGGGTAGCACACTTCAGCCAACTCTAAGGAGCTGTGTGGCCTTAGCTCAGTGGCCCAGGAGAGCCCCTAATGGCCTCACCTATGAGCACGCTCAGACAATCAGAGTGCTCAGGCCAGCTGGTCTCTGGCTCTGCATGTCAGCTCCACTGAATGCAAAGGGTGTCCAAGAGACATGAGGGGAAGCTATAGACGATGGTAAGGTAAGGCCAGAGAAGACACGTCAAGGGACTGCTGGCCAAGCTGGCTCATTTTCCTATTGAAGAAGTGGCACCTACATGTGAAAGATTTTTCCTCTCCCTATGCTACCAGCCAGATTCTTTATTAACCTTCATCAATTATTACTAAAAAGTTCTTTATGACCCCTAAACTTAAACTCAGGGTTATCACAAGGTCAAAATATTATGCCACATTTATGTATGTTTTGCTTTAGAACCAAAAAAAGAAAAAGTTGGTTCTTTTTGTTTTGTTTGTCCTCTCACCAGGGTTTGCTCAAAGTTCAACTCCTCACTGGGAATAGACCATGTTCCCCAGAACAAATGGGTTTTCTTTAGAGCCTTCTTTGGAGATGCCCAAGCTGAATTATAAAAAACTTGAAATCTCAGAAATGAGAAATTGCTTGTGGCTACTAATATAGCTAATGAGAAATTCAGTCCTTATTCACAGAAGTTATATAAAATAAACTTCAAGTAAAGAATGCTAAGCGCTTCTATTTTGTCACCGGGATAAACACCATATACATCATCCCCACTGACAGGAGAGCAACAGCCTCCTAGCTTTTTTTTCCTATATGTTAAAAAAGAAACAGAAAGAGGACATGTCCATCTGCAGTAATGAGAGTGAATGAGTAGGTTACTTTTTTTGGCACTAAGGCTGTAGAAAGGCACCCCAGCACAAGACAGGTTATGACCTCATTTACAGACCTAAAAAAGACATCGAAAGCAACTTTGTGAGCACAATTCAAAGTAGAGAGGAGGGTTAATTGTTGATGTGAGAGAGAAACCACAGAACAAGAAGAAAAATGACCTTTCATCATCAAGTAATTACCTCCAGGCAGGAACTCCATGATTAGGTAGAGGTTTAGCTTATCCTGAAAACTATAGAACATTTTCACAACCCACAAACTGTCTGCCTCCACTAGAATGTCACGCTCCGCACGAATGTGGCCAACCTGGAGGTATATGCATTTGATTAATGACAAGCCTTGCTCTGCTTTATTAGATTGTATATTTGTTTAAACAATTTAAGCACTGTTTTGCGTATTTAACTGTGAAGATGTATACAAGATCTAATTTCTGCTTAGGCAAACCTACTAAACTAAAAACTAAAAACATTTTACTTGAAGGTCTCCAGTGATGAAAATTCATATGATGAAAAGCTGAAAAAGATGGCAAAATGAATGGCTTTAATGCAAATGGAAACTTTTAATAGTGCTATAAATTTAATCTCTGATTAGTTAAAATTACCATTCCCATGTGTTTTTATTATAATAAACTTTTATGATAAAAATGTAGTCCTGAAAAAGATTTTCTCTTTTTCAATAAATCTTACCCCAGGTGTGCACTGGTAACTGCAGTGACAGAGGCCTGGCTGGCAATTCTAGAAGACTATGCTACCACAAAGGAGCTCTGGTAGCGTAGTGGTTACAAACTGGACTGCTAATCTCAAGGTCAGCAGTTCAAAGCTACCAGCTGTTCTGCAGTAGAAAGATGAGGCTTTCTGCTCCTATAAAGATTTACAGCCTCAGAAACCCTGTACAGGGTCGCTGTGAGTTGGGACCGATTCCACAACATACCACCACCACCACCACCACGGTACCACAACACTTGGTTCACTACTGTGCTGAGTATGTGGCTCCATTGATTTGTACTGAATTGAAATATAACAGCACCCAAGAAAAGGTATAGGTACAAATGAGTGACACTACATCTTCTACTTACTGACATTTCTAGCTGAGGAAACTGAGTTAGAGAAGGGTTGGAGGAAATGGCAGCATTATTAAATTATAAGTTAAAGCAATAAAAATTATATTTTATAGTAAAATAAGCCATATTCACTTTAAATAAATAATACTAACCAAAACATTGCTGCATATTATCAAATGCTACCTCCTAACCCATTTTTTAAGTATCACAAGATTCAATGGTGGGTTTAGTCAGGTCTAAGTTTATTGAGACTAAGTCCAATAGAGGTTTTGGTCTTAACAAATGCTACAGATCTTGAGTTGTACACTCTGTTCTAAGGTAAAAGGTGTACCAAGGTTCACCTAGAGGCACTTCTGCTGGCAAATTCAGCATACGGTGATATTCTATGGGATACAGATGTTCTTGTTTTATTGCAATGTCTTTGGCCAAGCCAAGCACTCTTTTTGTTTGGACAAGGACCCCACCACCCCTTCTCCTGATTTGCTCCCAACTGCCTCATTCTGCCATGCCAACTCCTGGGGCTAGAAGCATGTGAGTTTGCATATTTGAGTTTTGGGGGATTTAAAAAAAGTTAACTTCTATGTTACAGAAAGCTGACATTTTTCTATCTCTGCTTATGGTCTTGGGGAGGGGACAATGAAAGGTAAGGGTGGTAAGGTACAGCATCTGCCTTTATTTGGCCTTAATACAGAAGTGAAACCTCTGGGAAACACTGAGCACCTTGGCTCGGACTCAGTCACCAACAAACACTAAGGCTGTCAAAGGCTGGCCTTCTTGCTCCTCGATTTCCTCTGGCACCCTTCAGGCCTCTACCTACTCTGGGGAGCCAAAATGAAGAGGAGGCACTACGATTGCCACTTGCCACTAACACTGGAGGGTAGACTGGTGACTGTTTATTAATGGGGAAGCTACAATCACTCTGAGCACACTGTACCCTTCTCTCCTGAATGAGCAGGTAGGAATCTCAAGATGCAAGAATGGAGTTGGAAAATATAGGGTAAGGGAGGGAGGCAGGAGCTAGAGGTGCAACACACACTAAAGGTTCCTTCTTCACTATTTAATGAGGTGGGGGATTACATGCTTGTTACTATCCTGGGCAACAGGAAAGTGAGATTAAAGCCAGTCTTTTCTCTGTTATCCAGGAAACCACAACTGGAGGTTTTCCTTTTTGCACTGGAAGAGAAACTTTCAGAAACTGGCTAAATGCTGTCTCTTATCCTTTGACATTTTTTATTTTCTAAACAACAGAAATTTCTACCTTATGGGACAGAAGAGCAACCTGAACTTCTAAGTGGGTAGCTTTAATTCCTATTCAGTTTAATACAAACAAACAAAAACAACATTTCCTCTGAAAATCTATCTACAAAATCTTAATGTCGCTGAATCTAACCATTGTTACTTCTATCCAAAAATAAGATGAACTGGTATAATCTACATCCAATTTCCACCTGGCACAAACCTGCCTGCATGCTTCTTCAAGATGACCAAACCAGGTTAAATCTGTGGCCAGAGTCTTTAAACGGATCCTCCTGAGATCAAACCTGGGTACTTTTGTTTAGCAAGTGAGCTACACAATGAAGTCAGCACATCATTTCAAATCCTCCTTCTAACAGATGTTGCCTTTACTTTCATTTAGGAAAATTTTAGAAATTGTGTTCAAGGCAGGCACAGTATTTGAGAAAATGGTTTCTATAGTTATATTCAGATCACCCTCTCTTCTGCCATGCTGGAACACCTCGTACATGCTACATAGGGCAATAATAACTCTACAACTATGATGAACATTTTGCATGTTCATTATTTGACAAAGAGGGCTTTTTAGTCTTGGTTAAAGTATTAGGATATATATGCCTTGTAAAAATAAAACTTGTGTAGTGCAAATATACTAACTAACCAAACACAGAAGCTTTACATTTTCTTCTCTGGATTACCTGAAACTCTTGCAGTAGCTGCACACTCATACCACAAACTAATTTTTAGATAAGTTTTAATTTGGCTGTTGGCATAAAGATGTACTGCTGGGGTATTTAGTACTCTTAACCTGAAATTCTTGGGAGTCTAGTTTCTGGGGAATGTAAAAATTAGCAGGAGGGTAACGAGTCCAATTTTTGAAGTGGCACTTAGATGAGGGAAGAGAAGGCTCAATGATTATACATCCTTTCTAGAGGCAGAATGTTCTAGAGCCAGTCTCTGTTGCTGCTCTTGGGCTCTGTACCAGGTGCTCCCATTGCCAGGGCATCATTTCTCTTTGTCTTCCTGTAGCATCTCAACTTCTACAGGACACCTGTTGTCATTGCTACTGCAGGCTGTTCTTAAGCAACCAGAAAAATTAAATTGGACATATAAAAAATCTGAACCCTTTTTAATATATGGGCCACCAGTTAAAAATCTTATTTTGCATGAAGTACTTAGGCATCTTATAAATCTATTTGCAAAGTGGATTTGGGTTGTAGAAAGCATTCAGTTGATCATTTAATCATTAAAGAAGAATTTGTATTGCTCTACTGTTGTGATTATTTTTTTTCATATTTATTTAGAAAATGGGAGACTGGTCTTTGTTTTGGTGAACAGGATGAAACACATTAACGCACATTTTAGATGATAAAATCCCAAATTTGAATCCGTAGGCCCTAACCCCAACTTCTCTTTCTCAACATTGTATGAAGAACATGCTACCACAGTAAGTGTGGCCTCAAGAAGGAGCTCCTTGAGACCAGGTCATCTCATGGTCAAATCGGAGACACAAACAACAGATGCTTCTCTAGTACAGCATCAACATAAAAAAGCTTGTGCATAACCCATACACATTATTTGCACTTTAGAGATACACATAACCACCTCTTTGTGGAAGAAGAAAAAAAGTACTATCATATGTGTAGTCATACATGACAAAGCTAAACAACAATGCCATAAGATTATAAATTTCAATTAAGTAAAAAGAACAGTTTTAGGAGACAAAAAAAAAAAAATCCCTAATTTTACTAAAAGCATTGCCTACAGGTGGACTATACCTGCTCTTTTTCAAGCATATCTGCTTTACGGAGTATTTTCATTGCATACACATGGCCTGTATCTTTCTTCTGAACAAGCCGGACCTAAAAGTTATAAAAAGAAATGCCCAGTCAAAAGCTAACACTGCCAAGCTAATGCTTTCATGTGTTACAGCAAGTAATATTTAAAGTGAAAGAAGCGTTACAATGTTAATATAAGCAACTACAAGGAGCTCTGGTAGCGTAGTGGTTACGAATCGGGCTGCAAACCTTAAGGTCAGTGGTTTGAAACTACCAGCTGCTCCGCAGGAGAAAGATGAGGCTTTCTACTCCTGTAAGGATTTACACCCTCGGAAACCCTGTACAGGGTCGCTATGGGTTGGAACCGATTCGACAGCACATAACAACAACAACAACAACAACCAGTAATGAAGCAGAAAAACAAATGCCTTTCATGCTCCAAAATGAAAATTAATGCTAGAAACAGCCTCAAATATTTCCACATCTGAACAGCTTTAGATTCATATTTGAACAAACCAAACTAATTAAAAACCTTCAGTTTGAATGTAAGGGCTCATTAAAACCCTGGCATACTCAGTCAGCCCAGAATACTTTAAATAAATGATTACTACAACATTTTAAAAGCAAAACCAAAAGCTTTACACATAGAAAAAATGTCAGAAATAATTTTTTACAAACCCTAAAATGTATAATTAGGGAAATGCCGTATACATACAATATACAATTTGGAATATTAATTTTCCTTTCAGTTTTTAAATTTTTCTAGTATTTTAAAGAGACAATTATTTGATGAAAACCTTTCTAAGATAATCACTGATTCTTCTCCTTACACACTTTGTCTTCAAGTTTTCCCAGGTCAAGTTCTATATGACTCTTCCCCACCAAACAAAACAAAATAAGCTCTGACAGGCAGCACTGTACCTTTCCCTCTCTCATGTGGCCGACTCAGGGATTCTGAACACTGGGATCAATTTAATCTTTCACCTGTGCCTTTGAATATGTACTCATATTTCCCCTAGGTACTAGATTTTAATAGCATGCTGCTCCTTTTATTCAAAAGATAATGCAACAATTGCCATCAGTTACTACTCCTTCACTTTGGGTGCTTTCCTTTAATGGCCCATTCAAACCCTCACAGCAAACTGCTCTGTGACCAAGCAGGATGAAATTTCCAGGACTAGCTGAAACATAGTTGTAAAATTTCTACCATTACCTACATAACTCCTTTCAACAAATTCTGTCTCCTAGGGCCATCTTTTTAGAGTAGTACCAATCTGGTGGGAAGAAATAAAGGGTGGAGACAAGATGTCAATTTGTTCATGGAGAGTCAGTGTAGTAATGGAAAAACAAGGGCTTAAAGGTCATGAAAACTGGCCTCAACTCCTGGTCTCACTGCTTAATGGCTGTGTGACACTGAGACATTATACAGTCCTTCTGAGCCTTAATTTCATCATCTATAAAGTGGATTACTGCCAGGATTACAGGAGAGAGGAACTCAGTAAATAATAAATGTTGGTTTTCTTCTACCTTTCAACTTCCCTCTAAATCAATACCTAAGGCTAACAAAACAGACACAAGACACAAGCACTCAGAGATGTGGGGCAGCAGAGAGGGGAAGTGAGGAGAGGACGTAACAGTCAGGATGTGGCGCTGACACACCTGACCTACCTACCCCCGTATCTTCAGCTATATCAACAACATGAAGTCATGCCATGTTTGAAGCTTCAAAGTTCTGTGGTATTTTTGTATTTCATATTTTTACCTCACCAAATGCGCCTCTGCCTATTACTTTTAAGGACTCAAAATCTTCCAGCCCAAGTCTTGTTCTCTTCAAACGAAGAAACTCTGTTTCCTTCCGAGCATGTGCTGATCTCCTGAGTCGTTTCTAAGTATTTAAATGAGGGAAGGGGGAAGAAAAGGAGGTGAAATTCTGAAATCTAACAACAAAGTCCCATTTGTGATTTGACCCAATTGGAAAGCAACATTGCATTAGATTAGGCATAATCCCTTCACCGGTGAAAGCACCACATAAGAACCCCTCCCTTGGCCTTCAGGGGCAGTAACAACGCCTGGACAGAGATTCTGACTGACTTATTTCAGCAATCCTTTCCTAATGAAGGATGGTAAACAATCAACATTTTCCTTCAGTCTTTTCTATATAATAAAGTATCGTTTTGAATTTCAGTTAATTTTATCCTCTTTCCATTATTCCTACAAATTCTGGGTATTTTTCACACTATTTTCCTGGGTACTATGATTCCCTCCTAATTTTGAAGACATTGCCAATGCCTTTTCAGTTCCTTTATGAATTACATTTTCTCCTATCTCATCTGTGGGGACTAGAAGAAGAAGTGATGAGTTCAGAAATTCCATTCAGAAATGTGTCCTGTTTCTGGAGTTTTTTCAGTGAGTTCTGTCAAATAGGCTATAATTTTCTCTTTTAAGTTTTCATGTGATTTCACTGATCTCATCTTTTCCCCCCTCATAAAACTTTAAATTGAATTAACTGATTATAACTATGTCCAGAGAAGTCTTCTACTCCTGGGTAATCATAATTAACTTCTCCCTCTGTATGAGGACCTAAATCCAGAAGCCAGCCAGCTCTCACCATGGAGCCAAAGCCCTCCTCCCGCACACCAAGGCTAACAGTGTATAGGACAAATATGACCTGATATGATGGGTTTTCAAGGAAAAAAAAATTCAGTATTAATTACCTCTTCATCTTTTAAGCCTTCTTCCTCCATCACTTTTTCTAACTTCTTCTGTCTAAAAAAAAGACATGTGGAATAACATTTGAATGATAACTTTCTGAAAATTCTATACAGGTATAATTTTTTTGAAAAATGAAAAAAACATTGAGATCTCAAACTATCTCATTACAACAAAAAAATTACAACTACTCAGGCAAATGAAAAGATTATCATCCTTTGTTAGTTCTTCATTTTGAAAAAGATTATACAAGATGTTAATGCAACAAATAGTCTTGTTTCAAAATGTAAAGTTCTCTGTCTCCCTTTTTTCATTTTCTTTCCCCAGAATTTCCTCCTTAACAAGCCACAAAACAGCTGGTACTTGATAACCTCTTATATACAAGTGTTTCTCCCCTTCTCTCTGGTTGAAATCTATTTCCTTTATTTGTACATCTTCCTCCTCCTGCTTGCCACAAAGAATAAACAACAAAGGTAAAGGCAGAATTGGAAGATTCAAGGGGAAAAAAGAATGCAAACTAGGTGATCAGCACCACTAACAAAACTGGAATACTGAACTTTAGTTTAGGAACTTTATCCAAGAATAATTCTGATCTCCAGGCTCACACTAGTTGGGTATGGTATAACTAGAATAAAAAGTAAAACTTCACTACCACTAATTCCACAGGACCTTCATGAATATGGCATAATACATATGAAATTGTGTGTACCTCCACCACTTGCCAGCACTGCAGATAAACAACAATGTGAGCAAGGCAGGGAAGAATAAAAGTGTGTAAAATGCTGCAACAACATTTACCCTAGCATGGCTGCGACACACAGCAGGCAGGTTAGAAATGTCCCAAACAAATGCCACACCAAGATTGTTAACCCTTATTCTATACACAATTGAGAATTGTTTCTATTTGAGAATAACTAGCAGTAATGAGGATCTGATGGGCTGGCCGGAAAAGCAACTGAGAAAGAACTGGAACCAACTGAAAGCTACTGTATTTAGTTGTAACACTATATTGTTAGAAATCATCCTAACTCTCAAGAAATGTAAAGAACTACCCTACTTCTGATGGAAAGAAGAAAGCACCTCATGGCTCCCAGTCTCCATGCTTTTCTTCTTCTAGTTCTAAAAATATTTGAGGATATTCATCAGTGTTTGCACATGTATTAGAGGGAGATGGTTGCACTGGTAGTTTCAGAAGTTGAAATCCATTCCGTTTCAGTGGTTAGGATAGCAGAAGACGAAAAGAATGAAGACTGAAAGCGTAACATCATGGCAAGAACTACAATGAACTAGACTATGGTCAGCTCTTTTGGGGACCTGAGTCTCAAATACTGTCAAGCCTTCTGACTACCTTTTTTGAATGACCACACCAGCAGGGCTGGAAGTCTACTGTGCCACAGAGATGGCCCATTCTAGTTAAATCTAAATATAAACAAAAGTTTCCCACTGCTTTACTGCAGGCGTAGGAGTGCAGTTATCAGAATTATCTTCTGGAGCACAATCAGATTCTTTCATTAGAGAAGCTACTGGGGGGAGGGAGGGTACGATTAGCATGTGAAATTATCAATAGTAATTATTTACTGGGACCAGGTCAACATAAACCTGGAAGACACTAAAATATAGCATTGACAATTTAATAAATTTAAGCTGGGAGAAGGCTTAATTAAAAGAGACATCCTATATGAGATGACACCAAAGAATTACTGTTAATTTGGTTAGATCCAAGATAGCACTGAGGTTATACAAGAAAACATCCATATTTTTATAGATGTATACTGAAGAATATTGGACTGAAATGATGTTTGGAGTCTGCTTTAAAACAGACTACTCAAAAAGGAGCTCTGGGAGTGTGGCTGTTATGAAGCGGGCTGAGAACCTTAAGGTCAGCAGTTCGAAACTAACAGCTGTTCCACGGGAGAAAGATGAGGCTTTCTGCTCCCATAAAGATTTACAGCCCTGGAAACTCTGTACAGGGTCGCTATGAGATGGAATCGACTCCACAGCACATAACCACCAACCACCACCACCACCCAAAAATAATACTCCCAAGTCTTAAGAGCCAGGGCAGCAACCGCTACAGCCATTGGTGGAACGCTGCGTCCTTGCACTCACCTCCAATGCTTCAAATCAGAATGCTGGGGGAAAGAAGCCATACCCAAGCCCACTCCACCAGTGCCTTAGAAGGAGTTGCACGTGTGCCCATTTTCCATATGAGATGGCATGTTCTTTTAAAGGCGGGGGCCCTGTCTGAATTCCCCTTCTGTAATAGGCATAGTGCTTTATACACAGTACATCTGAACAATGTACGTTGCTTTAAAGAAAAAAAGGTCAGCATGTGTAACAATGTATAATGCATGTTCATAACTGCTGCTTATATTCACCCACCTTCCTTTTCTATGCCTAGCTTAGGCTCTCCCTCCTAACACAGGAGAATTCAGAGGCAGGAGGTATGGGAGAAAAGGGCTAGTTCATGCTATAAGAGCCGATTTGACAGTATTTCTAATTCCTATTAATTTGTTGTCGGTAAGCGCCATTGAGTCAGTTCCAACCCATTGCGACTCTGTATGTATAGGGCTTCCAAGGAGCCAACCTTGGAGTAATCTGAAACAATTTGATGAATTAGACATATACCTAAAGTTACCTAAAAGAGGGAACAAATCTTTACAGCAAGGATCATTCCCACCCCCTTGGCACACAGGGTAGGCAGGGATTGGCAACTTGGACATTGGCTACCTAAAATGGGGGGGAGGGGGGCTACGAAGGCAAGAAGTGACTGGCTTCCAAGCTTCCAAGCAGGAGCCTAGATCCAGAGGGCATGGAGGAAGACAATGTCCTCTGAGTAGTACCCAGTCTGTCTGGGTGGGACTGATGAAAGGAGATGGGGATAGGACTCTTGTGGTACAATAATGAATAACTGCTATCAGGACTGACTATAAGGGTTCGATATGTAAAGGTGGACATTTTGTAGCAAAAGGAGGGGAGTGGTTGACTTTGCAGTCTAGGAGCGGAGGGCCCTGGGACCATAAAGGGAGAGGAGCAGAGTGTGGGACCCTACCCAGATAAAGAGTGACACTAGAGATGGAGGCAGAGACGATGATGTAGAGAGATGGAGCGGCTGGGGACTCTAGATCTAGAGAGGGAGAGGGGCTGTGTGCTGACGACCAGAGGGCAGGGTTGCAGGGTATAACCTTTGGTTGGTTGATGATGCATGGAGGGGGCTGTAACCATGTGTAACCATGGCAATGAAACAATATATGATAAGATAAATGTAAAGCTAATGTTCTCCCATGTAAACTATCACATAATTCACAATAAAAACTTAAAAAAAAAAAGAGTAATCTGCTACAATTTGATGACCTTGACCTATACTTATGGATGTAGTAGCTCAAAAGAGGGAATAAATCTTTACAGCGAGGATCATTCCCACCCCCTCAGTACAGAGGGTAGACAAGTATGGGCAACTCAGACACTGGCTACCCAAATGGGGAGGCTACAAAGGCAAGAAGTGACTGGCTTACAAGCTTTCAAGAGGGAGCCTAGTTCCAGAGGGTGCAGGGGAAGGTAGAATCTCCACTGAATGATTTCCAACCTGTCTGGACTGGGCTGATGAAAGGAAATGGGGATAAGAGTCTTGTGGTTCAATAACGAATAATTGCTATCAGGACTGACTGAGTGTTAGAAATGTAAAGGTTTTGTAACAAAAGGAGGTGAGTGGTTGATTTTGCAGTTCAGGAGCGAAGGTCCCTGGGACCATTAAGGGAGAAGAGCAGAATGTGGGACCCTACCCAGAGAAACAGTAATGCCAGAGATGGAGCGGCTGGGGACTCTGGACTCAGGGAGGGAAAGGGTCTGTGTGCTGATGGCCAGGGGAGAGGCTTGCAGGGTGTACCTTTGTTGTTTGATGATGCATGGAGGGGATGGTAATCATTGCAATGAAATGAAATACGATAGGATGAATGTAAAGCTAATGTTCTCCCATGTAAACTATCACGTAATTCACAATAAAAACTTTAAAAAAAAAAAAAAAAAGAAGAAGAAGATGGAAGGAGTACCCAGAGTCACTGTACCAAAAATAAATGGTCAATGTTCAACCAAATGGTCGATGTTCATACTGAAAAAGTACATCTAAGGTGCATTGAAGGCACTGGCAAAGAACAAAAGCCTCACGAACTGATGGACTACGAATTGAAATCTTTCAACAAACTGATGCAGAACTGGAGGCACTTACTTATCTATGCCAAGAAATCTGGAGGACAACTAGCTGGCCAATTGACTGAAAGATTCATATTTGTGCCCATTACAAAGAGAGTGACCCAATGGAACGCAGTAGTCATTGGGTAATATTATTAATATTGCAAACAAGTAAATTTTGCTAACAATAATCCAAAAATGTCTGCAAAAGAACATTGACAGAGAACTGCCAGAGGTTCAAGTTGGATTCAGATGAGGACATAGGACACGGAATGAGGGATATCACTGCTGATGTCAGAAGGATCTTATCTGAAAGCAAAGGATACCAGGATACCAGGATTGCCAGTGCTTTATTGACTATGCAAAGACTTTCAATTGTGTGGATCATGACAAGCTATGGACAACACTGCGGAGAACAAGTATTCCGGAACACTTAATTGTGCTCATAAGGAACCTGTATATAGACCAAGAGGCAATTGTTCGAACAGAACAAGGGAACACTGAATGGTGTAAAATATTTATTTAACCTCTAGGTTAAGCACATAATCTGAGGAGCTGGGTTACATCAGGATTGGAGGAAGATTCATTAACAACATGCCATACGAGGATGATACAACCTTGCTTTGCGAAGGTGAAGAGGACTTAAAATACTTACTGATGAAGATCAAAGAACACAGCCTTTGGTATGGGTTGCACATCGATGTAAAGACAACAACAATCCTCACCACTGGACCAATAAACAACATCCATACAAATGGAGAAAAGATTGAAGGTGCCAAAGACTTCAGTTTGCTTGGATTCACCATCAACACTCATGGAACCAGCAGTCAAGAAAGAAAATGACGTATTGCATTAGCAAATTGGCACACAAGACCTCTTTAAAGTACTGAAGAGCAAAGATGTCAGTTTGAGGACTAAGATGCACCTGATCCATGCCATGGTACTTTCAATAACCTCATCTGTATGTAAAAGATGGGCAATCAATAAAGAAGACCATACAAGAATTGATGCATTTGAGTTACGGTGTTGGAGGAGAACATTCAAAGTACCATGAACTGCCAAAAGAACAAGCAAATCTTTGTTGGGAGAAGTAAAACCAGAATGCTCCTTAGAAGCCAGGATGGCCAGACTTTGTCTGTCATACTTCGGACTAGTATCAGCAGGGACTGGTCTCTGGAAAAAGACATCATGTTCGGTAAAGTCAGCGAAAGTGAGGAGGTCTTCCAACAACATGGATTGACATAGTGGCAGTAACAGCAATGGGCTCAAGCATAGCAACAATTGTTGAGTTTGATGAAGGACTGTGCAGTGTTTTGTGCTGTTATGCATAACGTCACTATGATTCGGTACTGACTTGACTGCATCTAACAACAAAGGGCACTGTGCAGTGAACAGCAACTGGCCACCACCAGGTATAAAAACCCTTGGTATTCTGCAGAAATCAACTGCCGTTGCGTTATTCCAACTAATGGTGACCCCATGCATGTTAGAGTTGAACTCCTCCATAGGGTTTTAAATGGCCGATATTCTGCAAGTAGATAGCCAAATCTTCCATCCAAGGTGTCTGCGATACAGTGAATTATTTAATATGCTTCTTCTAGCCATTGTCCCTACAACTCCCACCAAATCATTTTCCTGATAGGTTTGGGTAAGAGAGGGGGGATGGAGGGAGATGCTGATATGATTCAGTTCGGAGTGACTGTTAACAGTTAATTGTGACTGTAAAAGTGTGGACCTCTATAGCAGTAGGTATAAAATGAGCCATTTCAGAAGTAGGCAGGGGACTCTCACTACCATCAAAGAGGAGGAGTCGGGAGTGGAATGCATCCTTTGGACCCTGAAATCCCTGCACACTGAACTTTCTCAACCTAGAAGACAGAGCTATGACACCAAAGGATTGGCAGAGGAGTGACAGAAGCAGAAGCAAGAGCCACAGCATAATACAAAGCAGTGGCTTCCCAGTTATGCAGCAGGTACAGCAGGAAGGTGGCACTCAGGCACTCAACTGAGGGAAGCTACGTTTGCTGGCACATCCGGCTAGAGCCCAGTGTCTTTGGGCTGCGGCTTATTGTGGAATAGAGTGCCCTTCTGACATTCATCAGTAGCCCTAAAAGCTTTGTAACATTAGAACATTGCCAAGGACTAGAAAGAGGCCTGCTTGTGGACATAGTTGAGAAGAGGCTGTCCAGACTAAAAGAACTGTGCCCCGAGTATTTCTGACCCTGAATTGTAAACTGTTAACTTCCCTAATAAACCCCATTATCACGAGTATTATTTCTGAGTTTTGTGTGGCTAGTTGTAACGAATCATCAAACACAGGTGAGAAGTAGAGAGAGCTGTAGGAGGGATGGCTGGTGTCAGAACTAGTAAAGAAGATTGGAAGGTGGAGGCATGTCTGACCTCTGTCTCATAGGAATCAGCCTTGGGCTAATAATGAGTTTGATTCATCTTCCCCCTTGTGAAGTCAGAGGTCAGACATACCCCACCACTGTCTTGTCCTCCATTCATAACCACTTTTTGCAGTGCCTCTGGATGGACAAACTTTCAGCCTTTTGGTTAGCATATAAGAATGTTACCATTTGCACCACAAAGGGAATCCATATTTAAGGTCAAATCTAATCTCTGGTACAAATTATGATTTACATCCTCAGGAAGAATGAGGATGCAAAATCCTTAACAAAATACTGGCAGACTGGATTCAGCAATATATAAAAAAGATAATACACCATGACCAATAGACTTTAATCCCAAATTTGCAAGGTTGGTTTAACATTCAAAACTCAGTTCATGTAATTTACCAAACAGAGTAAAGGAGAAAAACTAAAGGATCGTTTCAACAGATATAGAAAAAGCATCTAACAAAATTTAACACCCAGTCCTGATTAACAACAACAACAAAAAAAATTGCAGCAAAATGAAAACATAAGAGATCTCTCTTAACTTGACAAAGGACATTTTTTTAAAAAAAACTAACAACAATCATTATAACTAAAAGTGAAATAGTGAAAAGCTCTCCTTAAATTGGGAATAAAACAAAGATGTCTACTCCTACCACTTCTATTCAACATGTACTAGAAGTCCCAATCATTAAAATAAGGCAAGAAAAAGGCAGGGAGAGGAGACAGGAAAAAAGAAGTAATAAAATTACATCTATTCATATATGTAACATATGAATATGTTGTTGTTGTTGTTAAGTGCCGTTGAGTCGGTTCCGACCCATAGCGACCCTGTACAGGGTTTCCAAGGGTGTAAATCCTTACGGGAGTAGAAAGCCTCATCTTTCTCCCGCGGAGCGGCTGGTAGTTTCGAACCGCTGACCTTAAGGTTCGCAGCCCGATTCGTATAATTGTCTACAAAACAACTACTATAATAAGTAAATTAGCAAGTTGTAGAATACATGGTCAATATATAAAAATAAACTGTTTCTATACACTAGCAATAATCAATTAGAAAACGAAATTTTTAATGTCCAATTACAATAGCATCAAAAAATACTTAGGAATAAATGAACAAAAGACACAATACTGGTAAAATGTCAATTCCTCCAAATTAATCTACAGATTTATTGCAATTCCAATCATAATTCCATCAGGCTTTTCACACAAATCAATTTTAAAATTTAAATAGAATTTACAAAGCAATGTCAAAAAAAAGAACCAAGTTGGAAGACTTTCTCTCCCTGACTCAAGACTTACTGCAAAGTTACAGTATTCCTGACAGTGTGATGCTGTCATAACACAAACAGATCAATGGAACAGGCCAGATTACATTCACGGTTACTTGGTTCCAACAAAAGCACCAAAGCAATCTAAAATTAAAATCTTCTCAACAAATGGTACAGGAACAATTAGCTACCCATAGAACAAAAACAAATCTCAACTTCCACCTCATGTTGCACATGTATTAATTCAAGAGGGATCATAGAAATAAACATAAAAATTAAATCTATAAAAAAAATCCCACCCCCCAAAAAAAATTCACAAATACTGAGCTCTGTATATAAAGTACACTAATGTGTGTAATATACTTTGAAATACAACAAAAAATTTGATGACTAAATGTATGATGTGTATGAGTACTCATGTGATGTGTATGATGTGTATGAGTACAATTCTTTCAACTCACTAGTATCTTCATAACAAAATGTTGAAAAAATTTTACTAGTGAGTTGTTGTAAGATAAGCACTGGACTACTAACCACAAGACTGTTGGTTCAAACCAACCAGCTGCTCCTCAGAAACCCTAAACAGGGTCAATAAGAATCAGAACTAACTTGATGACACTTAACAAGAACACATGAATAGTATATGTTCTTGTTATGTCTGTTTAAACTCATATAATAACTCTGTATAGGTTTCCAAGGCTGTAAATCTTTGTGGAAGCAGAAAGCCTTGTTTTTCTCCATAGAGCAGATGGTAGGCTTGAACTGCAGCAGTCCAAACCTTATTCTACAGAGCCACAAAGCTCTTATGAATAGCATATACCAGATCAATAGTAATAGCAATAGCTCTACGAGCATCATGTGGAGTCCTGGTGTGGCATTGTAGATAAGCACTGGACAGCAACATTAGTTTGAACTGCAAGGTCACTGGTTCAAGCTCAACAGCTGCTCCTTGGAAACCCTATATAGGGTAGCTATGAGTCAGAACCGACTCAATGGTTTGTAACAACAACAGCACCATTAACTGGGCAATTACCATCATGGCAGACATGCACATGTGTCAGATCTAATCCACACAGCAGTCAGGCAAGGGAAGCATTAGTATACCATTTTCCAGATGGAAAAACTAGGAAGTAATTTGTCCCACCTCAACCAACTAGTAAAAGAATTCTAAACCCAAATCTTACTCCCAAGGAGGTGCTCTTTCTATTACACCACACTACATTAACAAGGAATTCTAAGGATCTGGCCTACATTATACTACAGGAGAATGTTATGCTACTGACTAGTAGTAGTTGTTGTTGTTAAGAGCCGTCGAGTCAGTTCCGACTCATAGAGACCCTGAACAGGGTTTCCGAGGCTGTAAGTCTTTACGGGAGCAGAAAGCCTCATCTTTCTACCACAGAGCAGCTGGTAGTTTCGAACTGCTGACCTTGTGGTTCGCAGCTCAATTTATAACCACTACTCTACCAGAGCTCCTGACTAGTAGTAGAAATGGGTTAATGACAGGGGCTTTAGAAACTGTTACACTGGCATTCCATTACCATGGAATAGGCTGCTATCCTGGTCTCCTGTTAACAACATTACGAATGTGTTTTACGATTCTAGACATACATGCCACAACTATGACACAATTCTTTCAAACAAAACTCTTTTACCTCATTTCTCGTTCTTCATGTTGAGCGATAAGGTTGCTATAAAAATTCTCCAGTGTCACTTTGGTCATAGTCACCCTTTCCTTTGTGTGGTTACTCATGGATGAGCAAGGTGTTGAGCCTGTCATTGCCATGGCTGCTAAAAACAAAGAAAAGGAGAAGGATTGTTTCTGGAAGTAGAATCCACCAGTTATGCACTCTCCTACTCCACTGACATGAATGTTAACTGGTGTAAAATTTTCTAGAAGACAAACAGGTAATAAAAGTCAGACAAACTGAGTTCTCGTACTTAATAAGAATGAGTATACATTATGTTCTCCAACAAAGAAATCCTGCCCAAAGTCTACAGAAACTCTCACACAGGCCAGTAAGGTGACATGCCCAAGGATGTGCACTAAAGAGAGGATGTTCTTTATGCTTTCATTTGTGGTATAGGAAGTTGAAGGAAATTCAGTAACGGAAATGAAAAAAATAAAATGTTGCACATGCAGCTGTTTTAAACAACTAACTACCCAAGTTGGCTCCCACTCATATTGAGCTTGTGTAGGGTTTCAGAGAAGCAACTTGTGGGTTTGAACTGCTGACCTGGAGGTTAGTAGTCCAGTGCTTGTCTACAGTGCCACACCAGAACTCCATAACGACCTATAATTACCTACAAATAATATGAATCTACCTTTAAAACAAAGTTGCATTTAAAAAACAAAAACAAGATCACAACACCAAATGTATGCATTGGTGGTAGTGGTGTGCCAAGGGCTCACAGCGACCCTGCATAGGGTTTCCAAGGCTGTAAATCTTTATAGGAGCAGAAAGCCTCATCTTTCTTCTGCGCATCGGCTAGCAGTTTCAAACTACTGACCTTGATGTTAGCAGTCCAACGTGTAACCACTACGCTACCAGAGCTACTTATGTATACGTCATTGTTGTTGTTAAGTGCCATCGAATCTGCTCCAACCCATAGTGACCTTGTATAGGGTCTCTGAGGACCAGCTGGTGAACTTGAACTGCTGGTCTTGCAGTTCAAACAACTCTGCAGTCTGGCACATTAACTCACAGCACCACACCAGGACTCCATGTATACATTAAGCATATATAATACAGACATAATATAATTCTTTGCCATCTAGGGATCTGCTCTGAAATATTCAGAAGCTTACAAGGATTTATACACAAGAGTTTCAATGCTTCATTGTTAATGACAAAAAAAACTGGAAACATACAAGAGGACTGATTAATCTTGAAAGAGTCCTACAATGAACTGCGGAGAAATTAAAAAGTTAAAACTGTATACTTTCAGAATATTAATACCCCGAAAGTACTGCAGCAGACATGTCTGATGATAAAATTAATATTTTCCTTTATGAAAAATTTGTTCAAATATATTGAACATTTCTTAAAATTCAGTTATCATTATTAATGAGTAATAGTTTTTTCTATATCACAGATACCAGTCCTTTGTCATATAGATTTACTACAAATAACTTCAGGGATATGTTTGCAATTTAAGTGAAAAGAATAGATTACAAAAGAGAATGTACACCATGATTTCAATTTTATGTGTGTACTATGTGTAATAAAGGAGCTCTGGTAGCGTAGTGGTTACAAATCGGGCTGCGAACCATAAGGTCAGCGGTTCGAAAATACCAGCCGCTCCGCGGGAGAAAGATGAGGCTTTCTACTCCCGTAAAGATTTACACCCTCGGAAACCCTGT